TTAAATTAATCTTTAAAAATACAAAGAAAAACCTCGCAATGTGCATAAAGTTAACACATGTATTTGAAATTACAGTCTAAGTTTCTAGAATTTACCAGTAAATTATAGCTCTCTTTCACCTATATGTTGCCATCCTTTTTTTTACAAAAACAATTTGCTCACTTTGTATCCCAGCTGTAGCCCCCTCCCTCCTCTCCTCCCTAATCACCTCCACCCTCCCTTCCTATTCCCCTCCCATACTTTTCCCTAGTCCACTGATATGGAAGGTTCTCCTCCCCTTCCTTCTGACCCTAGCCTATCAGGTCTCATCAGGACTGGCTGCATTGTCTTCCTCTGTGGCCTGGTAATGCTGCTCACCACTGAGGGGTGGTGGGGGGAGTGTCGGTGATCAAAGAGCCAGCCACTGAGTTCATGTCAGAGACAGTCCCTCTTCCCCTTACTAGGGAACCCACTTGGACACTGAACTTCCATGCACTACATCTGTGCAGAGGTTCTAGGTTATCTCCATGCATGGTCCTTGGTTGGAGTATCAGTCTCACAAAAGACCCCTAGGCCCAGATTTTTTTTATTGTGTTGCTCCAGTCCTCTCCAGGTCATTCTAGCTCTCTCCCTTCTTCCATAAGATTCCCTGCACTCTGCCCAAAGTTTGGCTATGAGTCTCAGCATCTGCTTTAATACCCTATTGGGCAGAGTCTTTCAGAGGTCCTTTGTGGTAGGCTCCTGTCCTGTTCCCTGTTTTCTCCATCTCCCGAGGTTTATCCTGTTAGCCTTTCTGAATGAGGACTAAACATCTTACCCAGGGTCCTCCTTCTTGAAATCATGAAAATTGCAGGCAAATGGTGAGAACTAAAAAAGATCATCCTGAGTGAGGTATTCCAGAAACAGAAAGACACATGTGGTATATACTCACTTAGAAGTGGATATTAGACATATAATAATGGATAAATACAGGATACTAAAATCTGTACACCTAAAGAAGCTAAGCAAGAAGGAGGACCCTGGGTATGTTTCCATCTTAGGAGAAACCACTGCCAAAAAGAAATCGGAAGAAAGGGAAAAATCCCCTTGTCATAACACAATCATTTACAAGATTCCATTTTCATTTTTAGCCCCAAATGGCACTCATACAATAGTGTTGGGTTAATGTATGGTTTTTAACTTTCTCCTTTATCCTTCGGTATATTTTCCTGTACAAACTCAACAGCGAGGGACGAAAAGTTGGTTTGGTGGTTAAAGCTATTGCTACGCAAGTATCAGAAGCAGAGTTTGGATCCCCAGCACTCAGACAAATGTGGGATAAGCACGTATGGCAGACAGCCTGCAGGTGAAACAATATCTCAAAGACAAACCAGCAAGCCACCCTAGCCAAATCACCTCCTAGTTCAAGTGCAAGGCGGCCATAATTTATAAAGTGTGGTGTGGCCAAGGAAGATAACTTCTGTGTTTCATACCATGGTCACATGTGTAAACAGACCTGCCCACACATGCACACAAATCCCCCACCCTCCATAAGATGGTATCATATATATATATATATATATATATATATATATATATATATATATATATATATATAATGGGAATATTTTTCTATTACATGCATGTTCCCTCAACTATAACCCTCAACACATATTTTGCATATGATACCATTGTTATCACCAGTCACCTGAGTCACACTCCATCCCTATTATAAGAAGTTGGCTAAGTATAGTCTCCCACTAATCAAGGGAGAAGCCCCAGAGCGTCTCTCATTCCTAGCTCACTGGTGAGCTATGGGGCCATCCTCATTTTCCACTGTTGGTGGGGCCTTCACAAGTGACCTTGAAGGTGTCTTTTAAACCCTGACAAAGTTGTCTCTAGGTCTGTCAAAAGTCCCACAAGTCCTCATTTTTTCCCCTCATAGTTCTCAATGCTGGTGACAAGATTTAGTGAATAGACAGATTCTCAGAAGACACCCTACCATGGCTTCAAAGTTTGACTTTATCCAAAGCATAGTTCTCAATGCTGGTGACAAGATTTAGTGAATAGACAGATTCTCAGAAGACACCCTACCATGGCTTCAAAGTTTGACTTTATCCAAAGAGAATGCCTGATCAAACATTGGGTCAGTAATCAATTCCTCACTGCTAACAGCATAAGAATCCCACTTGAGCGTAATAAAGACTTAGTTCACAATTTTCTCAGACTGTTCTGGGATTATTCATCCCTCACGTTTGGCCTCCCTTTCTTACCTTGGCAGTTATTTCTGAGAAATTACCCGTCAGTTACCAAAGCTACCTCTTAGACAAGGTATGTTTATCACCCATAAAGATTAGTCTAATTCTTTGAGGAAATGCTACACTGGAAACCACAAAAATCATTAGCATATCATGTTATCTTAATATTTTAAATTATGTGTAGGTGTTTTTGCATATGGTTATGTGCACATGAGAGCAGGTATCCTTGGAAGCCAAAGGCATTGGATCTCCTGGAGCAGAAATACAGAGGGTAGTGAGCAGCCTGATGTGGGTTCTTGGAACCAAACTTAGGTCCTCTGAAAGCACATCGGTCAAACGCTTAGTTAACTCCCCAGCCCTTATAAAAATATGTTAAAGCTAGTATTTTATACTTCAAATAGTGTCCTCATTCCTCACTCTTCCTCTAGTACATGCATTAGATTCACATCGTGGGGGCTTCAGATTTGTGCAGCAGCATCTGGTATCCAGTTTGGGAACTTGAGAATGCTGGTATATTCCTATCAGGGTCACAGTGATTGCATCCTCCAAGTGCCATAGAAGACAACAAAGATATAGCAAAGGTGACAAAAGTCACCTCTGTTCTCTCGCTTGGGAGTCTCATGAAATGCAGTGATGGATGTTCAATGACTCATTTCCCAGCACACCATCTCAGGCAACTGTTTTTGTTTTCTTCATTTCACAACTGAACAGACATGAGCTCACATGGCAAATGCAGGCTGAGATGTAGGCACCAAAGGCCATGATCTACTTTCGACCTTGTGCAAAGGAAACATGTCAGGTCCAGGAAGTAGATTACTGCAGCCTTCTTCTCAGAAACTGAAGGCCTAATGAACCAGCAATGTTCTGATTGTAGGTGAACTTTTCTAAGGCTCAAACTGAATGACACTTTAATAGTAATGTTGCCATTACTTACAGTGGTAGAGTTGTTTCTTTTATGGTTATTTGAGCCTACACTTAGTTGCCACAGAATTCTGACTCCAAGAACGCTTAGTTCAGAAAAGTTTTGGTGGAAAAATGACCTTGGGTGTTTGATCACATCTGCACAGCCCAGACTCGTGGGTCAAGAGAGTAGCTGTTTTCCCCTCCCAGCCTTGTTTGATCCTTGAAGTTCTGAGGCAGTCAGGCCTCTTTCAAGAATAGTAACAGATTTTGTCTAGACTTGTCTTTGCCTCCAAGCAAAGAAAACACCTGAGCCCATTAAGGCTCTGAAAAACCAACCACATTACCAGCTCAAGTGTGAGTTTGCATGTGAAATGTCCCGTATAAACTCGTACCTCTTCCCCAGCTGGTGGTACTGAGTAAGGTTATAGAACCTTGGGAAGTGAGACCCCAGCTACAGGAGTGGGTAACCAGGGGAGGGTCTCATATCCTGACCCCATTTTCTGTTCTCCTTTGCTTCCTGTCTGCTGTCACAATGTAGCTAACCCTAAGGCTACAAACTCTAGCCACTGGAGTTCTAGGTCAAGAGCTCCAGCCACTGTTTCTCCACCAGGACATTGAACTTTCACCTCTGCCACCATTACAGTCAGCCATTTGTTCCTTTGAGATATGTATAGTTTTGGATAGTCTGAAACTCGCGATATAGGCCTACTCACTAAGTAGCTCTTGATGTTCTTGTACACGCAAAGGTTCATCTACCTTTGACTCCCGAGTGCCTGGACCAAAAGCATGCACTATGACACCAGACTCATAATGGACTCTGAAACTGTAAGCCCAAATAAATTCTTTCTTCTCTATGTTATTTCTGGTCATGGTATTTTTATCGTAAAAGAAGGAAAGTAATTAATATGATAAAGTAAAAAGTTGAAAAACTATCTGGAGATTGCAGTGGTTAAACTTTGCTTCTACAAGGGAATAGATCAGAAGGCATACAGGAATATGAAAATTTTCAGTTAAGAATTACGGCTAGCCATTTTTTTTTTCATTTTTTTTAAATGTTATTCCAAGCCAAGCACTGTAGCACACGCCTTTATTCCCAGCACTAGGGAGACAGAGGCAGGCAGATCTCTGAGGTTTGAAACCAGCCTGGCCTATAAAAGGAGTCCAGGACAGCCAGAGCTACACAGAGAAACCTTGTCACAAAATACAAAACAAAAAAATGTTATTCCAATTATTAAAATGGGAGGGTCATGAATTTGAAAGAGAGCAGAGTATGGGGGGAGAGCTGAGGGGATAAATGTTATAATCTCCAAAGTAACAAGTATGTTATTCTCCACTGGGCTGGATATTAGTAGTTTCCTAGCTTTAATCAGTTATTTACTATGTAACTTTGCACTGGTGGCTCTTGCAAAGTTTGGTTCTCAGTACCCTCACTGGTGGCTCACAACTCCCTGTAACTCTAGCTCAAGGGTCTGACTAACTCCAAGGGCACCCACACTCACACACACATACTTCACAGACAGCCACACATATATTTGCAGCTCTAAAAATATTAAATAACCGTCACAAAAAGAAATTTTGTACTTTCACTCAAAAAAGGGAAATATTTAGGAATCAATCTTCCCAGAACATTTCCCAGTGATTTACACCATTCACCATCTTAGCTCCGCCCCCCCCCTTATATTGCACTGTTCTAAATCTTCTATTTGCTTAAAATTTTTTCAGATTTTTAGAGAAGCTTGTTGAACACTCACTAAATATGTGTGATGTGTGTATATAATCTTTGGTACTTCCCCAATAAAATGCTATAAAAACTAGGTCAATTTATTATGTCTTCACTACTTACAAACAGAAGCTGCATTAGAACAAATCACAACATGGAAATCTCTCGCACTTTGCAATACTTTATTTCACAAACATTTTTCTTAGAGTAAAATGACAGCCATTATAATGCAATTACACAAAGACATCTTGACAAAGGGCTCTTGTGTTTTCTACTACTTCACATAGGCACGTGAAGTGGGAATTTTAAAATGTTTTTCACTAACACTATTTAATTTAAAAAAAAATTTGTACATTTGGCAGTGATGTGTTGTCTAAAAGAACAGTAATGCAGGCAAAGTACTCTAATTTAAAGACAAAATTACTAAGGATTTAACTTAAGATCAAGTTTAGAGAAGGATCCCTAGCTTCCCTTCTTAGGATTTAATCTACATAAACTCTTTAATATAAGTCAAAAATAACTTAAGCAATGAACAACAGCAACAAAACTTGCCCCATGTTAAACAGTATTTTTTATGGAGAAGAGCAGCTTTGATTTATAAACTCTTCAAATTCAAACTCAAAAACATTTTTCACTTTAAGCTGTGGTAAAATAGTAAAAAAAAAAAAAAAAAAAAAAGTTAAAAAGAAAGTTAAATTTGTTTTCTGAGTTAGCAGAAGGCCATCCCAAGTCACTGATTTGAGCACTAACAAGGCGGCACTCATGGTTGTCAATAAATACTGTGTCTCTGCTCATGGTTTCCTCTAGTCTTTTCTAACAGGAGATGGCTTTACTCTTCTTAACACTGTGCCAAAGTAATGAACCCAGTATGAATGTGGATGAATGCTTGCGCATCAGGCAAAACTCACAGCACTAAAAAATACAACCAATTAGTAAGGAAAAAAGCTGAATACTTACATAATATGAATATTCAGAACATCATGCTTGTGGCTAATTTTAGAAGCATACATGCATATACATAGATTTAGCTGATCATTTACTAAAAAGCAATGCGAAGATTCATGTCCACTGTTAACACTGGACACACCTAAGGGAAGTTCACTAAGCTTATTGTCCAGGACCCCTGATAATATATGCAGTTTCTCAAGAATCTGAACATATCCTGTCCTTTTTGCTCTTGCTTCCCTTTTTGATAAGCACCAAGATTTAATGACAATTTATGAAATAATTTCTTCCATTATGTTTACTGAAGACAGATTTTAGTCATTTCATGTTAATTTAGCAAAGCGATTTTACAGTCAAATATTATTGCAACATAAAAGACATGGCAGCATGTCACTAACAAATACACAATTCACAAAATCTAACTACTCATTTCACTTAACAAAGTAGTGCTTTATAAAAAGTATGTTCAGAGAATGTTTACACTTATTTTATTTAAATGTCAAGGCTGTAATAGCCATAGGCGATGTAAAGACAGAACTTACTTAAATGTTCAACGGCATGTGATTCCACTAGATTACTAGGTTTAGATTTCTCAACAATCCTTATTTTAGTGTTTCTGAATGTAGCACATGAAAGAAGCAATCAGCCTCCCTAAAGTGACTTTACTAACTCTAAAAAAGGCCCAAAGCTGCCACAGGCTCAAAGAAACAAAGGCCTTAGTAGGTAAATTACAAGGGTGCTGTTAAATGACTCTAGTTGAGAAGTTATCTCTAGTTTCAATAGCTAATAACAAAATGGCACAGCTCGTGAAGTTTCTTCAGTTGGTGTAGAAATAGCTCAGTCTTAGCTCATCACCTAGGCAATCTCAGAACTGCAGGTGGCTACAACACAGGTGTAGATTTCTCCTCAAGAATAAACAGGAGTAGGAAGAAAGAGGGGGAAATAAGTCCATGTGGCTATAATGATCTCAACATGGGGAGCAATGTTAATTGTCCTACAGATTCCCTACATGGGCTGGTATGTGTACCTTCTGTGGAGCATAAATGGATCCAAAAATCTGGTCCCAGGGTCTGAACTTATAATGAGGATCTCAGCAAGACTCTCCAGTTTATGTTCCTCACCTGTTTGACTAAGACTTTAATTCTAACAAGAGGCCAGGTATATCCCTTAATTATAATTTCTTCCTGCTGAGAAACTTAAAACTGCAAGTGCTAGGGCAGCCCCCACAACACACTAATTTAGTCACATCTGAGTTGTTTTTTTTAATTCCTCAGGAGAAAGCAACCAAGGTTGGGATCCAACTGAAGAGGTGAAGGTTTCCATGGGATATTATTCTTCCATATATACAGCATGTCTACTGTTGAAAGGTGACATCTTTATAATTTGGGAACTCATCTGGCTGTTAAATGTTCATAAATGCTAGAGCTTGGCTGGGAACATAATACAGTATGACCTAGGATGGAATCCCAATTATATCCCCCCACCAGGAAAAACGGAAATGCAGCCGCAGCAAAAGCTACTGCTGCTATGAAGACCTGATGTAGTAAAAGATAGTTTTCCTCTGCCATCTGGAACAGCTACTTCAATAGAGACAAGAGGGAATTCTGAAGTAAAAAACATTTAACCTATATCAGTTTCCAGTTAAATCCAGACTTGGGTCAATTAAAGGAATATCCACCACTGGGCTAAGAATGAAGGCTTGCCTTCCAACATCACTCTGCGGATTCTCAGAGATAGAGGGGGACATCATGCGGCAGAGCAGTGTAAAAGCAGAGTCAGAACAATGGGACTGAGAATGTTGGTACCATTTCTGGAAGGCAATGGGGCCTCCAGAAGTCCCGTAAGAAACAACTCTGGTACAGCATATTTATCCTCGATGAACACAGAGAACTTCAAAACCTACCTCTTCAAACCAGAAACAGGAAGCCTGAATCCAGCTCCTGCTCTGGCAATGGCTAACAGTTATGCATACATATTTGCTGTCAAGACTAAACATATTCTAGCAGCTCTTCCAAAAATACAGAGCAAAGAGTTCACCCTGCATATCTGTAATGAGCATGTTCAAGGATCTCAGATGAACAAATCTCGATGGTATGTTCTTCAGCGGAGGAGGGAGATGTGTACACTTAATATTTTTAAAGAAAAGGATATAAATTATACAGCTTTTCCAATGTCTCCTGCTATGCTTTTTCTTGTTTATAATTAAGAATGTACTTTGGCATGTGACTTGATTGGTAGTATTTGCCAAGCATACTCACGGAGTACAAATCTATAATCCCAGCACTAGGGAGATGGCAAGGGTCAGATGAACTTGAGGCGGGGCTACATATTCCCTGTTTCAAGGAGCTAGATAGAATGAGAGTGAATATTCAGTATTAGGTTTGATGTTGGAACTTCATAACATGAGGTAAATAGATCAAAGGCGACCTGCCCAGGTCCACACATGTACTTAACAGCAAGGCAAACCCCTAAGACACACAAGTGTTTCCTGTTTTACCTGAATACCCTCATTCTCTATATAGAATAGAATTCAGTTATTCCACTGAAAGTGGCCATCAGCAGCTAAGTACCAACACAGTAAGGAAATCAACTCTTATAATTTATGGTTGCATTTACTCCAAGAGTAAGGGAGAAAACAGTATAATTCTGTCACCAAGATGCATCTAAAAACTTGTCCTCAAAAATTATGTTGTTATATCCAGCAGAACTGAGCATCACTGATAGGTCTATTAAAACATGTCTATGATTTATTTATTTGGTTTTAAATATTTTCTGGTCTGCCAATTTTGAAATAAATTACATTTTTCACTAATCTCACTTCTTCTAATACTTACAAAGAAACAAAACACAATTACATAGACAAGTGTCCCCAGTAACAAACGGAGTAAGTCAAAACTGCCCTGGATATCAAGTAATAAATGTTACTGCGCATGAAGCCCAAGCAAAAAGCAAACAGCCTCTAAGGCCAGATGGTTTTAGGGTTGGCATACACAAAATGGAAGGATGACTTCCTCTAAGAAAATCTGGCAGTTGGCTCTTAAAGTCACTGGTAACCATTTCCAAGTTGAACTTGTCTCCTGTAACTCTTTTAGTGGCTCAGATGAACTCCTGTGACATTATCAAGTATACAGTACAAGGCAAAATGACCTCATAGGAAGCTAGACAGTAAACATGGAAATAATCTATGAACCCCTATATCATGTGCAGGTATGTTTTGGAGAGAATTTTTTTTCAGCATTAAGGACTACATAATGGACACTTAACATATTAGAAAAACACTACATCTTTAACTCCAATCTTTCTGAGATTTGATATACCATCAGTATCTAGAATGCAAAGATTACAAACAAGCAGCACTTCTAAAGGTACACAGTGACCTGACCAGTTTGACACTGCGCATGGCAGTGAGCAGTATGTACGCCACAAAACACACTTCAAGGTAAGAACACCTTATATTCTTCCCAGTTCCTGCTGTTTACAGCACAGACATGTTTTGCTTGAACAGGAAGAGTTCGTCATGTCAAGTATTTTCTGACGCCTTGGTAATAAGCACTGTGTACTTGTCAGTTCCTACTTAGAAATAACACAATTCTCAATCTGCTTAAATCTACCACATACTCCTTTTACAAGTCCATCAAGACAACTTTCTCACAAACAATGAGCACTTAACTTTTGGTAAAAAAAAAAAAATACTGTTTCAGATATGGGTATCTGTTGTTACAGGGAGATTTTTTTTCTTCTGGGTTCAGCCAGGAAGACAGTATAAGTCGTTTTGTTTTCATTTAACACACAATCCCAAACAGAAATTGGTACTTGAATAACAGAAAAAAAATTCGTCTCAACTAGGCAACAGACTGCAAGTTAAGGTAAAAGCAGGCGAGAAAAACGTGGTCGTACGTCTTAGAATTAAACTTTTTGGTGCCCGCTTCCTCAGGCTTGTGTGACTGTCATAAAGAACCTGAGGAACTGCAGTCAATGGCATCAAGTCCTGGTCTTAAACCTCCAGAAGTTAGGAGAAAGGGTCTTGGCAAATACCTTGTATCCGTCGAGACTTCTAAGAAAGGAGTGATAAGCCTATCTACAGACCTACGGTGTCCTTTTATAGCCCTTTCCTAAGGGACAGAAACATTTCCTTTCCCACTTGTAGGCTCTGGGCATGTGTAATGGCTTCTGTGACCTAGTCCTCTGACCAGGCAAACATAAATAATGAGTTCCCACCTTAACCTTTTCTGAGACAGCCTGTTTTGGAGAGGGAGTATCTGAGACAGCCTTGGAGAGAGAGTAAGAACTCTGCACAGAGCTGTAGGGACGATAAAGCTCCTTGTTTACAGTAACAAGATGACAGTGAAAAAAGCATGGCATCGGTGTGAAACAAGCTCAAAAGAATGACAGCACTCAGTTCTGCCATAGTTGTGTCTTCATAAAATTAAGTACTTCAATAAAAAATTCCTGGTATTTTACATCTTTGAAGTATCTTATATTTTACTTCTCTAGTATCCTGCCAAAAAATGTCTAAACAGCTTTCTTCTACCTTTCTATGGCATGAATAGGTCTTCCTCCACCTTTGGAGAAATAAATTACTTACAGGAAAATTCAGATTCTCCAAAAAGCACACATAGTGAGTCATACTGGTAATTAAAGGGTGTTTTGTTTCTAACAGTTCCTAGACATAGGCAAGCAGACAGAAGCCACAGTCACCCGTCATCACAGACAGACATCAAGGACTCATACATAATAAGTGAGGCAAAAGCAAAAGCAATCTGTCTGCATGTGGGCAATGGTGCCTTATTCAGCCACACATACTAATGCTTCATTCCCTTCTAACGATCCTCAGCTCTGCACTTACACCGTGTGCTGCTGCTATGAGAACTCAGATATGAATTAGCTGCTTTAGTAACATTTTTCACAGTATTGCATGTCATTAAAAAGTGGTTTCTAATGAGCCTCAACTGCACACAGTTCTTCAATAATAACACATTTATTACTCCCACTCAGTGGTTCCCGGGGGCTTTGATGTTAGGTCATACATAATTCTAGAAATTCCAGGAATCTTCTTTATCTCAGTGACCATCTTTAGCACCACCTGTTGACCAAAACAAGATTACAAGAAAAGTGAGAATCCACGTTCAATAACCTTAAAAGGCTTATGCTTACATTTTAAAACTAAAATATGATCTATTTTGGCTATTACTCTTCACATGAGAGATGTCTCTGATTGTATTTAGATTATCTCTCTCTACAGTGACTTAAGTCAGTATTCCTCAAAGTGTTTGACATTTGCTATAGCATCCAAGCATGTCACTTTATGTGTTAACACAATACTTCATAAATTATCTATGCTTTAATCATATAACCCCAACACTACCAAAACATCACAGGAAGTGCAGCTTGATCACTTGACCAAGGACAGCTTGACTACTGAATGGCCTTGATGATCTGACAAACTTGGCCATAAGGAAAAGATGCTAACCATTCCCACCAGCCAGCCAGCAGACCTTGCCAGAGCCTCACATTAGCACATTAGGAAAGAGCTCCACTAGCCAAAGTCTCAGTTCAACTTTTCACCTACTGCTGCTCAATAACTCCTTTGGCATTCCACTTTGGTGAAAGACAAGAACAGTGGTGGAAAAAAATGAAATTGTACGGTTCAATTGCTACAGTGTTTGCCTAGCATACCCTACTGAACAAGACCCTGGGATCAATTCCCAGCATGGTGGCACATACCTATAATCCCAGCCCTTAGGAGGAAAAGGCAGGAGGATCATAAGTTCAAGATCATTCTCAGCTGGAGGTTCAAGAACAGCCTAAGATACACAAGACTGCATCTTAAAAAAAAATAACTGTAATCGCTGATATATCAAATCTCATTCTTATTTCTTAAAAAACCCAATTCTTGTCCACTCCTAGGATTGTGTCCTTTATATGAGAAAACTAATATTAGTAAGTAAAAGTCAGCATGGTTATGTTCCATGTAGTAATCAGAATATGCAGGCACTTGGAAGTTGTATTAGATTTAAAATCTCTTTCAGCCACATTGTATTAAATAATAAGTGGAGACAGAAAGGGGGAAAAATGAGAGGATCTACCTTATAAACAAAGAACGAATCCTAGAATTATAAATTGTCAGAGCCTATTTCTGTCACTGCACTACATAATATGAGGGATTGGCACACTTGTATATTAGAAGAAGTAATATCAATCACCTCCACAGGAATCTCCTTTCCAGGTGTTGCAGGCACCCCAGTCATGAAGTCACTAGTAATAAATGTTCGAATAACCACAGATCTCTGGCAGGAAGGCTGCTTCTGAAGTGGATCTCGATCGAAATGTAATGGGGTCAAAATCACTGGCATCTGGCTGATTTTACCAGCATACCCTAGAGAAAATAATAATAATAATAATAATAATAATAATAATAATAATAATAATAATAATAATAATAATAATAATTTAGTGCTTATCAACACCACACAGTGGAAAGATACTCTAACGTAACTCAAGGAAATCCTAGCAAAGAATCTCTAGTATCTCTCCTTCTTCCTACCACCACTTTCACAGAGATACTTACTAATCATACTGAATTCAAATACTTCTTCAGCATCAAATGTGGATGCAGCAGAACTTTGTGCAGCTGTAGCAGTTCATACCTGCGCTCTCAGCACATGGAAGGCTGAGACTACAAGGTCTCAAATGTGAGAGCTATCCAGACTATATACTGACAGCCCACAAAAGAAAAGCAGCATCAAGGGAGAGTCAATTTCTGTTATTCGAAGTAGTCCGATTTTCTACACTATGAACACCGACTTAGTGATCAGCAGCCTACTTTTCCCAGGGTAAATACAAGAATAAGCTCCTATAAACCTCTGGTCAAATTTGCTCTTTGCAAAACCAAGCTTTAAATGTATGTCTTTTTAAAGACATCTAATTTAAGACTTATTTTAGATCCATCAACATCAAATCATTATCAGTGGAACCACACTTTTCTAACACCTGGATCTTCACATAAGGTATGCTACAGCTCAGGGGGTTAGCTAGCTTCAACATTAACTTCAGGGTGATTTTTCAATAGGAAATTCATCAATAATTAAAAAAACCAACCCTGAAAATGTTAAAAGTACAACAGCAAACACACTGTGACAAGAACACTTGCCCATAAGCTGAAATGAGAAGAGTGGTTCTGTGATCCACCTCATCTGCTGTGAACACAGCATGACTACGCCCATTTTTTTCTACTCTAAGTGTCTGTAAATGAATGCAAAGATTAAATTAATTTTATTTAAAAAGCAACATTATGGAACCTCCTATAATAAAAAGCAAAAGCTACATCCTACTGCTAAAAATTATTAACTCCAAACTTATAATAATAATAATAAAACAACCTTGCTATACAGAGTGCAGTGATGAACAGAATGAGCCACTTACCAGACTCCCTAAGAATGTTATGGGCCTCAAAATCAGCTTGGCGTAAAGTACTGAGCACCCCTGTTGTCAAAAAAGTTGGAGTAACATCTGTAGGAGGTTCTTTAACTGGTGGGCCAAAGATATAGACGACTCTAGGTGGAAACGGGCAGAGAAAACACGCTGCTCTGAGAAACTGTTTGCGGCTTTGGTTCATCTCAGTACAGTTCACGCTCCAAAGACTCGGAAGTCTGGCTTTCTCAACTCTCCTATGTTTAACACACCAGCTCCTACAGGTTAACACTAATAGGTGCATTTCAAGTATCTGAACTAAAGACAGAAGGAGTCTCAAGCAACTCTTGTTGGTTAAATAAGAAATATTCATTAAAAAAACTAGAAAGACACAATTATGAAACAACATTTAATTAGCAATTCTGGCACTAAACTGAATTTTTTGGTTAGAAGTGTTAAACATCCTTTATTTGACAACATATACCACAGCAAATATAATATTTAGTAATTAATTGATAGTATAAGCCACACTTAACTGCCTTTCTGTAAGTAAAAAGAAGCACTTTGAATTTAGGAAATTTTAACTAAATTGGCACAGTCAAGTACAATACAGACAGATGCTGTCTCGTCTTTAACTACTGCCTGTGACAAGCTAATGATCACATACAGAGGGGAATCCTGCTTAGTTCTGAGACAGTGAGACTTCCTCACTGTCATAACCAATGACATATAATCTATGTATTAATCCAATCTTTGAGGCAGCACTTTCCATCTTTGTGAAGAGGTGAGCACTGGTAGTTAAGTCTAGCCTTATATTGCAAAGCTTAGCAATGACAGTATTTGTGAAAGCAGAATTGCTATACTGAGAGATCATAGTCACCTTACTGTGAGCCAATATAACTTAAATCTGGACTGCCAAAAACTTTCTAGGAGCTTTTCATGATCTGAATTGATTCCTGGTATACAGCTTACATTATGGTAAACAGACATTCGATATTTGTTTTATAATAAACAGACAGCCTATAATAAACAGGCTATTACTCATAAACAGCCTTGTATGATAAGCTATTAAATCTGCATTTTCTCCTTCCTTAATTACAGCAGGATCATTTTTGGTCTCAGGATGCAATGGTGGGATTCTCAAAATTCTCTATTAGTATATCCTCCTTCTCCTGTGTCCCTGTCGGCATCTGCGTAGGAGAACCCAGTGGCCTGACATGTCTTCCTAACCAAACTATGCAGATTCAACGCAGCCTTTCACTTCTCTCCATTCCACACACTGCAGCACAATTCTGAACAAAACATCTTCTTGCCGTCCTCAACACTGGCCAGTTTTGGGAGGGTGAGATTGGGAGGGAAGGAGGGAGGGGGATACAGAGTTAATAAAATGTAACTAATAATAAAAATTTTTAAAAAAATTTGCTTTCCAGTAACTGGCACCACCACAAACATTACTGATCCTAAGCTATAGGACACACCAATCAACTGTTGTCTTAATTAGGATTTCTACTGCTGCAGTAAAACATCATGAGTAAAGGTAACTTAAGGAGGAAAGGGTCTGTTTATTATATTTCCAGGCAACAGTCCATAATCAAAGGAAGGCAAGGCAGGAACTCAAACATAGATAAGATGTACAGTGAATAAATGATGCAGAGGCCATGGAGGAATGCTACTTACTGACATAAGTAGCTCCATGAGGAACACCTCATGGCTTGCTCAGTCTTTCTTTTATCATCTCAGACCACGAGATCAAGGGTGGTACTGCCCTCAATGGGCTGGGACCTCCCACATCAATTAATTAATTAAGAAAATGCATTATAAGCTTGCCTACAGGCCAATCTTATGTAGGCATGTTCTCAGTTGAGACCCCCTCCTCCCAAATGATTCTAGCTTGTGTCATGTTGACATAAAACTAGCCAGCACAAATGTCTTTGACATTTTTGGATACATATGTGTCATATAACATGTGTGGAGATTATAGAGGACAGCTTGGGAAAGTTTCTTCTCTCCTTTTGCCATGAGGGTTCAAGGGATCACTCTGGTCATCAGATTTAGTGGCAATAACCTAGCCACCTAGCTGGCCCCCTAATTTATTTAAAATTATTTTTTCTTAAATAAGCAAAATAATTATACTGTGATAAGGATCAAAATATAGGATAATGTTAAGTATTCCTCTAACCATAAGCAAAGCTCAAAAAAAGAGACAAGTTATCCACAGTACATAATTACAAAGAGCTGTAACTACAGAATCATTCACTCTCACCTACTATCTCTTATTTACATGTACACATTAGTCTTCTGTTAACCACCTTAAAGCATATATCTTCCCTTTACACTTCATCCACACACCCCTCTTGTCCTCTGCCAACTGCAGAACATACCTGTTAATGTTATGACACATTCGAGGTATAAGTCTGGCAAGGAAAATAAGAGATTCCCAGTCAGGTTCATCTTTACTGGAGATTCCGCATACATAACTGTAAGAACGACAGTCACCCTGTAAAAATAAATGCAATCAACTCAACAGTTAAGTCAAAAGATAGGTTAGAAAATACTTTCCACACTGGCACTATTAGTAGTTAATTTGTTTTTTAAAATACATCTGAAAAATATATTCTTGGTATTCATCTGGTGATACAAGTAAGTCATCAATTAAAACAAGCCTCACTAACTAAATCCCACCTGGATCAATTCAGGAATAAAGGAACCATCATGGACATTTCAAAAATTTATATGAAGCATGCCAGTATTCCACTTGAATGCCATTCCAAATGGCTGCCCAACTATGGCAAACCAGCACATTTAGTTTGACAGGCAAGATTTATTAGCTGTAGTTATTGAGTAAAGAAGTCTTTTAGTTAAAAATAAATGAGCAGAAACAACTAGTATTCATTAACTGAACTGATTAAGAAAATGACTATATATACACAATGAAATGCTATTCACCACTCTGAAAATGAAATGCTTTCCTTTGCAACAGTAAGGATAAAGTGAGATCTTTACATGAGGTAAGATGGGCACCAAAAGGAAGTACCACATGATCACACTCATAGAATCTTAAAAAGTTTATCATATGGAAGTTCAGAGTACAATAGTGGTTACCAAAGGCTGGAGAAGAGTTAGGCATGAGGGAGGTACAAAAGATGAGGAAGGGTTGATCAAGAACATAATGTTACAAAGTAGAAGTTGAGCAGTTTGAATACATAGCAATAGCAAACACTTCAAGAGCAGACTTAATGTATACATGCATCACAACATCGAGGGAGCTGGTGTGGAGGCAGGAAGGCAGAGATCTTCATTTGAGAGAACCCCAAACAGAACAGAGAACACCCCAGGGGGTACAATCAGGAGTCTTAAGAGTGGTGGGAGGCCCCATCTAGACCAGGCTGCAAGGCTTAGCTGGTACTACAAAGGCTCTTGGAGGGCAGCAGCTCTGGCCAGCACATTTGCCTGCCAGACCTGTAAAAACAAGAGGCTTCACCAGTGCTCCATCTGTCACGTGCAACTGCCCATCTGCAAGCTGCAGGACCCAGAAAAAAGACAGACATCTATACATCATCTTTCTAAAATTATTTACGTGGGGGGAGGATTTACCCAGAGGCCACCAGAGGCCCTGGAGCTATACTTATAGGGTGTGAACAGCCTGACCCAGGACCTGCTCTGGAGGAGCAAATGTGCCCCCAGGGAACCAAAGCCACATGTGACTAACAACCATCTGTAACTCTAGTTCCAGGGACTCTAACACCCTCAACTGGCCTTTGAGGATAACGCATTCACACAGTGCAAACATAGGCAAGCAAAACATCCATACACATTAACAAATTTTTGAAAAGAAATCACTCATCAAGCAAATGCTTCAAACAAATATTTAACATTAAATTTTTCTTTGAAAAAGTAACCATAATGGGGAACTATTTGAACTCAACTCTGTATCTAGCAGGAGCTGCAAGTACACAAATTTTCTTAGTAGATTCTTAAGAGTTTAATTTTCAGCCTGCTGGTGGTGGCACAGGCCTTTAATCCCAGCACTCGGGAAGCAGAGGCAGGCGGATCTCTTGAATTTGAGGCCACCTTGGTGTACAGAGTAATTCCAGGACAGCCAGGGCTAAGCAGAAAAACCCTTTCTCAAAAAGCCACAAAAAAGTGTAATTTTTTTTTACTACTGTAACTGTGCTGAGACTGACCCCCATGTGTCACGTAAGAACTGAGAAGGGTTTAAAGAAAACCTGTCTATGCTTTTACTTTTATATTTACATACATCTGTCTGAAAATATCAGAGCAAACCCCCAAATAAGCCTAAGTATGATAAGTGAACTTATCCATACGCCACTGAAATAAAGTCCGTCACATAATTCCAAGAATACTTAGTCGTCATTTAAAACCAACATTAAGTTACAGGTGCAGCTTTTTAAAGGAAAGGAAACTAGACAAGTGATCTGTAACCAAAGCTTCTACCTGAGCCACCTTACTGAGCTGTTGTAGCTTAATTTAAAAAAAGAAAAATGTCATCTTAATATGAACACAAATATACATGAATTTTAATCAAGGAGGGATTTAAAATTCAGATCAATGTATTTAAGAGTATGTTTTACCATTAGGCAATCTCTAAACTAGTAAAGTTAATCTGTTCCTATAAATAATTCTACTATAACATTTTTACCTTTCTAAATTAAGAATGTAATTTCACATTTAATATTCCAAAGTAACTTCAAATTCAAGCCTTATGAAAACAAGTAGCAGTTAATCCAGTGAGTGAGCTCCCGTAACTCACCTGCACACCCACAGTCTTGATTGGCAGCAAGAAAGCATTCAGTGAATGAAGACTTGTAATTTGCATGAGCTTCTCCTGGTCCTCTTCTGTTGTGCAGGCTTTGACTCTCTGTAACAGTGTATGAGGCTGAGAAACCAAACAGACATTTTTTAAAATTAGTTTTTAAAAGCAGATGATGTGGAATGTGCTATTTGCTATATATACTAGACCAGAAATTCATTTCTAGGAGAGGAAATATAAATTAAATTTATATACTGAAATATTTACTTTCCTTTCACCTATTTTTTTTTTCTCATCTTATATTTTCCCTTTTTTGCTGTTTTTGAACTGGTGAATCTCCCAAACTCATTTATTTCTCCTTTACTGGTTTGAAGTTAAATCCTTGATTTCTACTCATATAGTTCCCTCTAAGTATAGTGTGGATACTAAGTATAGTGTGTAGAATCAGCCTTTCTGTCCTTTTGGCAACACAAGCATTTTTAATGCTTTGTATTTTATTAGTTTTTGAATAGTAATAAATGTATTGGTAGTTAACTATTTTATGCAGTCTGTTTGAGTCAGTTTTACTCATTTGTAACTAACTTTATTTGCTTACCAATCTCTCTTGTACATCTAAGATCTTCTGTCTCATTGCTATTCTTAAAGCCAGTTTAAGAGTTTCTAAATCACAGCTCCACATTCTAAACTAATGAAGTCAGAAATCCTAGAGGTGGGCAAGGATACACCTCAAAGGCTCCCTTACAGCCAGATGTAGCACACACCTGGAATCCTAGCACTATGGAAAATAAGGTACAAGATCATGACTCTGTCTCAAAAAACAATTACTAGTTATGTGTAGCCTTTCTTGTTCTCTTTGCTACAGAAAAGGCTAAACATTAGGAGATGAAGAAGGACTGAATGTAGGTAATGGACACAAGTAATGAAAGAAGATAAAAAGTTAACTGTTTTCCTAGTTATCCTGAACTTAATTTTTGGTGCTGGATATGTAGACTAAAATATATTCAATAGTGACAGTGTAAAATCCAATGTGAAGCTTCACAACCTTACAACGGCTATTACACTGCTCTAATTACACAGAAGTTCACTGAAGTGTACAGATGTTCGGTCTGGTTAATTTCAGTAGGTATTGTTCATTATTTGCAAATTTTTATAATAAAACTTATTTTTTAAAAAATAAAGAACAAAAAATAAATCACACCCAGTTTACTTCAAAACATTATGAAAAACAACTACCTTAAATTCCTCAAGTCAAGAACTGTTGGGAGAATGCTCTTTTCTAGGAATGACTTTATTTCTATATTTGCTCTAGTTCTTGGAGTGCATCCAGTCATCTTGCTAGGCATTTGAGCACCTGGAGTTTTTGTTTGTTCTGTTTTCATTGTTTAATTCTTCTCTCATATAATATATCCTGACTGCAGGTTTGTCTCCTGCAGTTTCTCCCAGCCATGCTGCTCCACATCTTCCCTCTCCTGCAGATCCACTGCTCCTCCATTTCCCTTCAGAAAAGGCCTCCCAGGGATAGCAACTGACCACTGCATTACAGGTCACAATAGACACAAACTCTCCTATCGGGGCTAGACAAGGCAACCCAGGAGGAGGAAAGGGGTCCTAAGAGCAGGTGAAAGAGTCAGAAACATCCCCCACTTCCACGGTGAATCAGAAACATCCCCCACTTCCACGGTAAAGAGACCCACAAAAACGCTAAGCTAAAAAACTATATTACTTGCAGGGCACCTTGGTTTTGCTATTACTTTTAACAGTCTTGGGTTTGCAGGTATGTTTTTCCCCCCTATGGCTGCTGCTGTTGTTGGCATTGTCTGTTTTCTTGAGTCACTCCCTACTAGGAGTCAAGCAATTTCACTTAGCCAGTGTAACATCTGTCATTTTGCTTAATCAATGCCATTATCTTTCACCAATTTGGAAAAGCTCTTGTCCACTCCTTGGGACATACCTAAAACTGAACTTCTCATTCCACCCTAACTTCTTCAATCCTTCTTTCTGGTAATTTATTCAATTTCTGGAAATTCTTAACGTCTATGCTCACATTCTCGTTTCATGTATATTTCAGTTACTTTCATTTTTAAAATTTAACTCTCTCAGTTTTTAAGTTTCATGAAGCAATTCTGTTAATAGCTTTTCTTACATCATGTTCTCACATATATTGTTTGCAAACTCCAATATCAAGAGTCACTGAAGATGTTCCCTAGTTATTTACATCTTCCTGGGCTTTATGGTTGTGTTTTGTTCTCTGTAAGCTCTTACTTTTTTGGAACTCTGGGAATTCTTTGGGAACAGGGTCAAGACTACTCAACAGAAAACCTATGGTGATACTTGCCTGACTTCTTGGAACCAGTAACAATCCTGGTCTACCTCAAATGAAACTTAATAACTTGCTATTTTAAAACACATAGGTTAAGAGATAACAGCCACAGCTGAAGGACTGGGAGATGGCTACACATTCTCAATTTGTAGCTGAAGTGCTGCTAACTAAGAAGACCTATGATCTAACTGCAGACCCTTCACCTCTCCAAGGTCTCACACTCAGACACCTATGTTCAAGAGGAACTAGCAGAATACTCCCTCAGGGGAGATTAGACTTCTCAACTTGACACCTCTACTTCAGTTAGGACTTACTTTCTTGCGGTAGTGATAAAGAGCATCTTTACCTGGACTTTTAAGGATAGGGAATACCCACTCATTTCCGGTTAGACAGACAGATCTACCTAGTAGTCTGTTTCATGATACTGTTTCTGTTACTTGAGTACTCTAAGAAACTACTGTTCTGAATTTTCAAATGAATGACATCATTTTAAAACAAAATAGCAACCTATTTTGTTTTTTGTATTGACCTCAAATCATTTATTACCTTCTTAACACTTGCAGAAAAATCAGCTACTATTTTCAAAATATTGTTGGTTTCAGGAAAGTCTTTACAAATATAAGGCTCTTCAGCACATATTACTCTGATTGCCAGTCCAGGACCTAAAAATTAACAATTTTTGAACATAAAATTTATAATTACAACTTTAATAGAAAACTGACACTATCTCTAAAACATAAAACCCTTATGAAATTAGGTTCTAACTGCCATCACATGGGGTTTTGTCTTCTTAATTTAGGCCCTAGGTGGTATAAAACTTGATATGTAGACCAGGTTAGCCTTCAACTCATAGAGATCTGCCTGCCTCTGCCTCCGAAGAGGTGGGATTGAAGGAATCCCACACCATGCTGGGGAATTACTATATTTTTAATTAATTAGACCAATGTTCCAACTACTCATCTATTACAGAAAACTAAAACAGGTTTACATTTTAAACCCTCTCAGAATAAAACAGATGAAATGTCAAGACATTACCTTTAAATATCACTATTTTTTTGTTCCAGCAAATAACTACTTAAAACTTTGTTGATATTCATGAATTAATTACATAAAACAAACAGTTCAAAAAGTGCTAAACATATGAAGTGCATATGAAAACTTAAAAGATTGGCAGAGGCTACATGAGAGGCTGAGGTAGAAGAACCACTTGACCCCTGGGCATCCAAGGCAATCTAGAGGTAGAGGTGAGGGGAAATCTAACCTTTATTCTTATCTTTAAAAACATAAATTTTTAAATATTTTTTCCATGAAATACATGACATACACACACACACACACACACACACACACAAACACACACACATACACACACATTTATAGCATAAAAATCCTAGATCTACAACTAAGAATTATGGAGAAATGTTATTAAAATATCTTTATATTTATATTTATATTCCATTTTCATCTGGCATCAACATTATGTCAAACTCCTGGGAATCATATAGCATGTAAATAAAAATGCAAAAGAGAACGAGTCACGTAATGGCATAAATACAATAGACATTTCAAAGAATTTGTTCCCTATCATTCTCTCTCTTCTGTCATGTCACATATTCCCTAAAAAGACAAATAAACTGTACACACACGAAGGTCAGTCTACAGACAAACAAAACCCAAGTGTATTTTTACCTGGAAAAGGATGCCTGGAAACCAATTCTTCTGGCAGGTCAAGCTCTCTGCCTAAAACCCTCACTTCATCTTTATGAAAATCTTTCAGAGGCTCTATTATTTTTCCCTATAAGGAAAAAAAGGGGCCAATTAAGAGTTTAGACTTTATAATTTAAAATATTTTCTTTGAGGCTCAAAATTAGATGAATATTCAGTGGTATTCGTATTCTTTGTTGAAATACATTTTACATATAATCCCTGTAAGTCCTGTAAGTAAAAACAAATGTGGGTGGGAGAGATGCTCACTGACTAGGAGCCCTGGCCACTCCCTCCTAGGAAGCACAATCAATTCCTAGCACACGTACAATTGTTCATAAGCTCTGCCCCAAGGGATCCAATACCTTCTTTCTAACCTCCACCGACACCAGGCACACACAGACCTACATGTAGGCAAAACACCAAACACATAAAGAAAATTAAAAAAAAAAAAAAACAAAAAAAAAACAAACCTGGGCCGACAAACCCACCAGGTCTCACCTGTTTCTCATAGGACACAAGGAAGGCAATTGGAAAAAATGTTAGTGCTCATTTTTCCAAATGAGCTAGGTGTGGGTGCAAACCTCTAATCAGAGCACATGGGAGGAGGAGTTGCGCAGATCTCTGTGAGTTCTGGCCTAGCCTGGTCTACACAGAGACCCTGTCTAAAAAGAAAACAAAACAATAACAACAACAAAAAACTGTTCCAAATGGTACCAAAAATAAAAGAATAAGTCACAAAATTTGAAGAAATAAAAACACTTTATTTTAAGTTAGGGTACTCTGTCCGCATGTATGTATGTGCGCCGCTGGCATGCACATCTGAAGCCTGGAACTGGAGTTCCAGTGGACTGTGACTGCGAACAACTTCAGCCTTCTGAAAGCAGCCAAGTTCTTAACTGCTGAGCCATTTCTCAGCCCCAGTAAAAATAATTCTAGCTCAAACTAAAGCTCAGATATAAACAAAGAATATGAGCAGACATTCTCTCTAAAATATACAAATGACCAATAAGTATTTGAAAAGATTCTAGATATTACTATAGTGAAATAAAAAAACCTCAACGAGCTTAGTGTGGCAGTGCACATTTGCAAGCACAGTGCGGGGAAGGTAAGAAGACAGCAAGTTCAAGAACCATATGGAGATCCTGACTCAGAGGACAAAAAATAACAGAGATATCACTTCTCAAGAAACAGTGACACATCTATTAGGATGGCTATTAAAGACAAAGACAAAACAACAAATAATGATCAGAATATACATAAACTGGAACTTCTGTAGTACTTTTGGTTTAAAAGTAAATTGGGGGCGGGAGAGATGGCTCAGAGGTTAAGAGCACTGCCTGCTCTTCCAGAGGTCCTGAATTCAATCCCCAGAAATCACATGGTGGCTCACAACCATCTATAATGTGATTGGATGCCCTCTTCTGGCATGCAGGTGCACATAAAATAAATAAGTAGCTAAAAGAAGAAAAACTACAACAAAACAACTAAATTAAAAAAAAATAAATGGTACAACTGCTATGGAAGATGGAACAGAGGTTCCACAAAACAAACAAACAAATAAAAATAGAACAATAGAAAAAACTGAACAGCAATCTTGCTTCTAAATATGTATACTGAAGGACTGAAAGACTCTTGAAGCATTAAATGTATACCTACGTTCACAGTTAAACTCATAATATCCAAATGACAAATGTATCACAAATGTCCACTGATGAATAATTAGTAGTAGAAATATGCAATGCTCCTTTGAAAAGAAGGAAATCCGGTCGTATAGTACAACATTAAACTTTAAGGACATTATGCTAATAACATAAAGGCAATACTGAAGAGGAAATAAAGAGAAGACACTTTTGTATGATACCACTTGCAACAAGTATACAAGGTCGTCAAACAAATTTAAAGTGGAAGGCCGGTTATCAGGCAGTAGGGTAGGGACCAAAGGAAGATGTCTGATGGCTAAGTTTCAATTCTGCAAGCAGAGAAGGTTACAGAGATTCTGTTATTCTATTCCAGATGGTGGGATTTATTTTGTTTTATACAATTTTTAAAAAAAAAGATAAGTCTTGATAAGTTATAGAAAATGGGAACTTCAATCTTTCCCATGGGAATGTATAAATTCAACATTTTAGGCTACAGTCTGGAAGGAAATCAAAATGTTAGAGTCATGAAATTTGGAAATTATTTCTTATTTCTGAGACAGGGTGACCTGTCTAATCCTGGATTTTAACTTGGTATGCAGCTGGGGATGACCATAAAACACCAGCTCCTCCTGCCCAGACTTCCTAAGTGATGGGTTTACAGGAATGCACCACAGTGTGCTAGTTTAGCAATTCTATACCTAGGTATCTACTACAAGAAAACACAACTTTACAAGAATTCGTAATATCATTACTAACAGCCAAAAGAAGAGCTGTTTACCATCTGCAAAATGTGAGCACATATACACAATGAAATATTACTGGGCTATAAAGAGGAATAAGTTCTGACAATAGTTTATACCATAGATGAATGCTAAAAAAACATAAGAACTTAAGCTACTAGCCAGGCATTAGGCCATGTCTGTAATCACAACACTCAGGGAGTCGAAGCTAGAGATCGCCAAGGTCAACCTCAGCTATGGAACAAGTCAGGGCCATGAGTTACGTGAGACTATGCCATCTTTTAAAAAACAAAGTAAAAAAGTGAATGATTAAAGGCCAGGTATTTTATGATAAAGTGACATAAGGTGTCCAAAACAAGCAAAACTACAGAAGCAGAAATTAGTGGTTTGAAGGGAATGGTGGCCTTTAATCCCAGCATGTGAGAGGCAGAGGTAGGCAGATCTCTGTGAGTTTGAGGCCAGCCTGGTCTCCATAGCAAATTCCAAGACAGGCAGGAGCATATACAGAGACCATGTCTCTGAAAAGAGACAGTGGATATCAATTATCTAGGGACAGGAGGAGAGGAGTATGGCACAGACTGAATGAAGAGTGACTAACTGCTAGCGAACATGAGACACACTGGGCTCCTTGTGAGGATGATATGAATGTTCTACACTTTGTCTGTGGCCGTCAGTCAGCCTGGAAGCACTGGCAAGAAGAAAGGATGTACACAGTTTATGGAAAAGTTTGCACAAGCCTTTACCTCTTCTCTCAACTTCCTGATAAGTTCCGTGTCATTGTGGTGGGTTTTGATGAGTTCAGCTTTGCCACTAGCAACAAGGGATGCACTTTCGATTAGATCAGGCCGTAAAGTGCCTTGGGCAAGGAAAACCTCCTCTGGCTTCAGACTCATTTCTCCAATCACTTCATTGGCAATCTGTTACCACAAAAGCAGAACAGTCTTCTCAGAAATGAATCTTAAATAAAGTTACAATGAAATTTAAGTATTCCTGCAGTACCAACCAGGAAAACAGATCTATCAAACTACCAAAATTAAATTTCTGAAAACATGTATATTGTATGATTCAAAACTCCCTGAAATCTGACCACTGGTAAACTCAACAAAAGTGCAGTATCAGCTGAAAGGTCCATTCCTAAAATGTCTGCAACAGCAACTTAGCAACATGCCTGCTTTTTAAACCAAGAGTTTCTACCTGTTAGTAAGACAAACAGACAGACAGATACACATACCCATAGTGTATATTAAAAAAAAAAAAAAAGAGTAATAAGCAAGTTTTGTTATTTGATATAATGGTAAAAGCACTAAAGTTCACATAAAACAGTATATACTGAACATGTTAAAAGAAAGGTACCTTAACAAAAGTATCACCAATAATTTTTCTTTTCTCCTCAGGACTTGTAGTCATATTTAATGTTTTGCTAATTCTTTTTCGTGGGGTCCTGTCTTCATCTGAGATTGGCAGAGTAGTTGTTCCATTGTAGAAGGAATGAGCAGCATTAATCACTAGAAAAGATGGGAGAAGTATTTTAAACTAATGTATTTCTTTATATCATAAATATGTCAAAGCACAGAAAGAAAACCAAGATGTACCCTCCCTTTGATGTTCATTACATCTTCCTGACATCTTAAATAAACCAGCAGTAAGAGTTCAGATCTCGGAATTCATTCAGAGAACTCTGTAACATTTAGATACAAAGTCGCAACACTGCCAATGATGCTAGTTGCTTTCCCTCTGCTCAATGTTCCACTAGAACAAGCCACTAAATACATAGAGGCCAAGAATTCAAAGACAGTGGCTCTTCTACAGAAAACCAAAGTTCTCAGAACAGTACACTGACCAGTTTCTTCAGGAACTTGTATTCACACATTTACAAATACCTGGGTAATTTACTACTACCTAAGAGAAAGAAATTGAAGCTGAGCAGGTGCAGGCTTGAAACCCAGCACCCAGGAAGGCAGAGGCAGATGGATCTCTGTGAGTTCGAGGACAGCCTGGTCTACAAAGTGAGTCCAGGACAGCCAAGGCTAAAAAGAGAAACCTTGTCGGGGAGTTGGGGGAGATGGTGTAGGACCAATAACAACAAAAAGGAGCAAGAAATCATGCTAGGTCAGTTACAAAGTGTTTGGCTACAGGCCATGAGTTTGAATCCAAGCACTGTCAAAAATGAGAAGCAGGTAATGAGTAAAAAACTATGGCAACAGGTGTGGTAGCACACACCTTTAATCCCAGCACTCAGGAGGCAGTGGCAGGTGGATCTCTGTGAGTTTGAGGCCAGGCTGGTCTACAAATCAAGTCCAGGACAGCCAGGGATGTCAACACAAGGGAAACCTTGTCTTATAAAACACACAGACACAAAAACAAAAACAGAAACACACACACACACACACAAAACCCAAAACTATGATGACTATTTGGTCATAGAGCATAACTCCTGATACGCTTCAGCAGGAGATGATGAAGTATTTCAATCAGGATCCATCCTGTAGGTCCTTCTCTTAACCTGGCCAGTAGTAATCCTTCCAAGCTCTTGCCTATCAACATTTGTGCAGTTCAACAGAGCAAGGGATGAAAGGAAGGAATCACCATTTAAAGTCGCTCAGTTGTGTTCCTACTATAGAATCCACCATCTAACTTCAACTATGCCTGGTGGCAGTGTTAAAAGTCAAGGCCTCTTAGGAAACCATCAGCTTTCTCAAGGTGAGGACAGAAGTTGCTGTTCTGCATTAAGGAAAAGGATCTGCTTTCCATGTTTTCAAGTAAATCCTGCTTTAAGCACACCCAGAAACGTGTTTCTCCCAAAATCCAACGTTCCCATTTCCTGAGCCTCCCTCCCCAAAAAGTCTGCAGACCAAGTCAGCTTGCTTCTTATTGGCTTCTATCCCACTTTAGCCCCAAGACTTTGAACTCCGATATTCTACCTATCCAAGCTTTTGTGCCACTGAAATTTCTCTAATCTAAAGACTCCCTTAGGAAACAGAATAATATAGCTTTAAAAGTAAGTGGGGTGGCTAACAAGAAGGTAACTAAACAAAAATGGTTATTACAAATAACAGTAAACTAAAACTAAAGGCATCTCCAAGGCCACTTTTTCTTGGCCTGACCTCAGAATGTTCACAGTAAATCCCACATAACAGACAACTAGACTAGAAAGAGAAAATTAAAGCTATCAGCCTCTACTTGCATTTAAATATATACTTACAAATTTGCAGTATGTGTGTGTGTGTGTATGTATGTATAGACACTGCTGGGATCCTGCTGGGACTTTGGAAGAAGACTGACTAGTGAGGCCCTACCAAAGTTATATTGTATTCTCTTATCAGAGAAAATCCTCCTCAGACACTTGCATTTTACTACCTAGTGTTCTCTAAACTACGCTTATTCCTTCTCCTTTTATCTCTGTACCTTTTTATGCCTCTGCTGTCAGTCATTCTTCAAAAAGGAAAGTGCTTATGTAGGAGTCATCACTTTATACTCAGCCTTTTAGCACTGATTCCAATTAAACTGATAATCTGATAATATAACTGTGCATAATTACACTTTTAATCTATTATACCATTTCAGTATAGTCGTAAGTTATACCTTTTTCAGAGAATAAAAAATATTCATTAACGTAAATGTCACTAAAAAAATAAGTTTATCAGTGGTTATCACTGTCCTTTACAGTAACAGTAACTGAGAATGTCTTCTTTTGAATATTTTGTCTGTATGCAAGCGTTCAGCTGCACATGACAGATATTATGTGTTCTCCTCTACCATACTCCACCAATTTTTTATAGAGTCTCTCACTAAAAGCAGAGCTACCTAGTTCAGCCAGACCAGCTGGCCAGCAAGTCCCAGGGATTCTTCCCCGTTTGAGGGATTACACGTATTCAGACACATTCGGCTTTTTATATGGGTCCTAGAGATAAATCCAGGTCCTCATGCTCCTGTGGGAAGTACTTTGCCAGCTGAGGTGCCTACATGACCTGCCTTACTTTTTGAAGTCTTGCTATGCTACCTAAGTTAATTCTAAACTCCTGGTATCAAACAATTCTACCTTGGTCTCCTAAGTAGCTAGGATTACAGATGCACACAACAAACATGCCTGGCAAATTATAGACTTTTAGCCTACTTTCTCTGTATGGGCTTGACTACTAAAAACTTATATTTGTAGGAGGGCTTAGATACTCACTAAATAAATAATATCATGAAATAAGGAAGAGAAGGGAGATTTTGAGAGGACCAGAAGAGGATAGATTGGAAGATGCAAAATGGTAACAGTAAATTTTATCGAAGTTTCACACCTGGACTTTTCTTGAAACAGAGGAAATTACACACATATATACTTATTTACTTCACATATATCTGAAGTAAAAAATATTTTCAGTATTGAGTTTATAATGAAAACTACATGTTTAAGTCTGGGCTCAACTTAATCACAAGGCTTGAAAGAAATAACCCCTGATGTAAATAAACTTCTCCTTGATTAATTAATACCTTTGACCTGAATTCCAAGCTTTTTGAGGGCTTCTTCAACAGACTGACTTTCTCGTTTTCTCATAAAGCCATTATCAATATGTACAGCAATGACTTGATCTTGGTTCAAAGCACGATTTAGCAAAGCTGTACAAACAGTTGAATCTACACCACCACTGAGTAAAACCTATAAATAAAATGAAGAGAAAAAAATTAACCAAAATAAACAAGAAATAAACATTACCACATTGTGTAATTACTTAAAAATGTTGTATATTTCAAGATATGTACAGTAACTGAAAAACAACTCTCAGGTGAGGCAACACACAAATTATATATGTACTCTTGTCAAAGTTACTCAATCCAACTCTGGATTCTAATATTTCTAACCCAGACCACCAGGAGATCACTACTTACCAATACTTTTGATGTGCCTACTTTCTCTTTGATCTCTCGAATGCATTCAACTTCTCGGTTCTGCACAGTAAAGGTCCCACTGCATCCAGCTATATCATACAGGAAATTCTTCAAAATTACTTTCCCATTTTCTGTAAGGCCGACTTCGGGGTGGAACTGTACACCATATAGCTTTTTAGTTTCATTAGCGATACCTTCATGGAGAAACAGTCACAAAGCAATTTTATGTCGAAGACACAACTAATATTCACAATTCACTCCTCAATCTTTTTCTATAAATGTTAAATGTATATGCCCTATTCAACTTTTAATTACAAAGAAAGAAACATAATAAGTAAAGATATGTTACTATAATCTTTATAAAGTATACAGCAAAATATGAGCTATTGGACGGGGCAGATACCTTCACAACAGTCTCACTTCTCTACCACTACTTCAATTTTTATGTCCATTTAATATTAAAAAACAACTCAATGTTGGTTCTCAGTCCTAGTAGTTTCCATATACACTTGGCAACCCCCAAATGCTAACATTAAAAAAACTTCATACAAGAAACTTTTCAGTATTTTCTAATATTTCCTTTTTAAGCTCCATTAACTACAAATACAGGTTGAATAACCCTACTCTGGGTTCAGAAATATTTAAAATGTCATAGTGTAAGTTTCCAAGATTGAAACATTCCATCCTTCAGGATGTTCCCTAAGCAAGAGGGTAAACAAACAACTCAAACAGCTTCAGGAAGTCCCTGAAATTGATCAGATTCACTAGGACCACCAGAGTAAGCAATAAAAGCCTAGAGTCCATCAGGGATGGGAGAAGCTGAGCTACAAATATGACTCTTGGAGAGGAATAGCAGCAAAGATGACAGAGACCAGACCAGCTTGCCTAGAAGAGGTTTAAACAAATTCTGCCACCTAGAAAAGATACTACACAACCTGTTGAGATACCAATAAGCAGTGCAATGCGCTCCAGGTTCCCACCTTTTTTTTTTTTCCCAGATGTCATTCATGTTGGGGTAGGCTTTGGTGATGCAGCGGAGTCATTTCTGGCATCACTGGCAAGTAACTTCTCATATTCCTGTAGTAACCCCAATGAAATTCACTGGTTCACTAAATTAGACTTTGATTGTATCTATACTTAGGTCTGTCATGGGTTCCCTAGCAATTGTTGTGTTGTGTGTTGTCTCCCCATAAAAAGTCACAAGGTATTGGTATTGGTTCTTTCACCTCAGTAGGCCTGTTCCCCTTTTCTTCCACCTCTGGCTGGCCCCATCAGTGGCCTGCACAGAGCCCTCGCCACCAACAGGCATGTGCGCTTTTGGTGTGGCTGCCCTCTCTCACACTCAAGGGCTCAGTGTGCCTGCAGGAGGTGTGGCCTTTTCATGTGTCCTGGGCCAGCCCGCAGGATTCTTCTTGCAGCAGAGTGCAGAGTCCGACATGGCTGGACAAGCTTTCAGACACTTTCGTCTGTGCTTTGAGTATTGGTTGAATGGCACGCCACCAAAACTGTAACCAAAGGTGGCAGTATGCTTCCAGAAAAGTCTCAAGGGAAATATTGTAAGCAACAGTAGTAGCTGTGGGATCGGGAGCAATAGGAAAAGGTGGAGAGATTTGACCAGTCAGCGTGAAGGTTGAAGATCAAGTTCTTCTCCCAGAGTATGGAGGCACCAGAGTAGTTCTAGACAACAAGAATTATTTATTTAGAGATGGTGTCATTCTTGGAAAGTATGTGGATTGATATCACTGCTGAAAAGGTGTCACATGAAGCTGGCCGTTCCACCAATATTCTAAACTATTTCATCATGTCGATAATTTCATTACCTTTTTTTTTATAATAAACTGATGATGCCTAAACTAATGATATCCATTGTCTGTGGAGTCTAGTTTCGCTGTAATGTTATAAGCATTTCCAAATAAAAAATGTAAATGAAAAAAAAAAAGACACTGGTATTGACTTTCAGATTGAGATGCAAGTGCAAACATGAAATTTATTGACACATATCATAGACAAGTAGTCTAAAATTACACAGTATTTCAGGTGTCCTTGAATTTTCACTACAACTTCTCATTTGGAGGTACTCAAAGAATCTGCAACTGTGACTTCAAGTTAGTAATCAAATAGTTTTGGATTTTGTGAACAATTTTAGATATTCAAATTAGGGATATTTACTATATGATTGTATGGGACCCTTCTATTAAGGCTGAAGTCTGGCATTTCCAGATAGCCTCTGAGTTCTGTATAAGAGGATCAGGCGGAGAGGGAACCCAGCTGAGAGGTCTGTTATCTTATACAGAGCCCAGAAGATATCTGAAAATGCCAGGCTTCAACTTTAACAGAAGGGTCCAACATCATTGCACCTACTCCACCAAAGTGATAAAAAGGTTATCTGTTAAACCGGGGCTGAGCTAGGGGCTTTACGTGGGCATCATTGCCTTTATTTTATAGTTCATGCATCAAGAAATATGTCTCTCAAGTAACTAACTTGTGCCTAGCAGGCTCAAGATCTAAGACACTTTATACTTTATTTTGTTTCCAAGATAACTCTCTCAGTTTACTTATTTCATTGTTCCTTCTTACTCTTCACTGCTTGTCTCTCTTCACCTGGCCTATCTCTACATATGGAAGTTGCCAGAACTCAGCCTTTAAATGTCTTCTTCATAAACTCTTAAGTGACCTCACATTCTAATGATCTTAATATTCCATACTGAGGCCCATCTGTTTACGTCCAGCCTAGGATTCTCCTCTGAATTCAAGATGTTTAACTGCCTATAGACACCTTCATTTTGATGTTATTTAATAAAGCACCTTGAATTTTGTATGTAATCCCAAATCCCTGAGATATTTTCCATTAGGTAAACAGAAATTCCACACATCTGTTAGTCAGGAAAAAAAAATTTTTTTTTTCCAATATTTAAAACTTGATTGCTTTGGGCTAGAGAGGGCTCAGAGGTTAAGAGCACTGTCTGCTCTTCCGGAGGTCCTGAGTTCAATTCCCAGCAACCACATGGTGACTCACAGCCAACTATAATGAAATCTGATGCCCTCTTCTGGCCTACAGGTATACATGTTGACTGAACACTGAATATATAATAAATAAATAAATCTAAAAAAGAAAAAGAAAAAAAACTTGATCATTTTACCTTTGCCACTCCACACTCAATCCATTAACAATTTTTTGTCTCATCATTCAGAGCATTATCACAATCCAAAGATGTGACTAGTTCACTGCTACTATCCTGCTCTAAACTTTACTTTTTCTCCCCCATCAACAGCATATACAGCCTTCCTGTTTCTGGACTAAGTCTATTTTCTTCTCATTATAATATAATCCTGAAATTAGACTACACCTATCCTTTATTCAAATACCACCTACCTATAAATAAAGCCACAGATTTGCAATCACTCAAAAGCCCCCAACGTCTCTCTCTCATGTTATACTTACTCTTGCTCAAATCATGTATATTTTACTTGCATTTCTCACTGTAGCGCCAGCTCAGGACCTGTTTGCAATTCCCTCTTCTCTCAACGTCCAGATGAAACAGGAGCATCTCTAATCACACTAAGGCTCACAACTTCTGCTTGCCGTTTCAGTGTAAGTAACACCCGACGTCAGATGGGGTCTCTATGTATCTAGCCTCACGCATCATCCATGTTAAACAGACTTTGTTTTGAATTCTGCCTAACATATTAGGCACTCAAATATTTCTTCAAAGAATTTTTTTCTGATTTCTGTTTTTGTTTATCACACAAAGGGATTAGTGTGGATGATACAAAGTGACTAACAGCTCACAAAGCAGGACAGACATCAGTTCTCTCCCTCTCCAGGGTCTCCTTCATCCCCGTGGTTTTCCGACGTACACAGGGGGATATTCTCCTGAGCAGCTGCATGATCAGGGTGCTGTCTTTCCAAGACTCTTCATTCGGGTACCCAGTTCAGCAATTGCTTCATCAAATGCTGGGATGGCCAGGCTGCAGGCCTTTTCGGGAGAGTTTAGAATCTCATAGTAAAAGACTGGGAAATTCAGTGCCAGGCCAAGTAGAATTGTATGTGTAGGCTGCATTTCTTTCTTGCTAAGTTCACATGCTTCTTGGTAAGCCTACAGGGAGTTTGACCCGGTGGTTTATTATCTCCAGATGCAGCCTCACAAAAATACCTAAAATAGTCTCCTTTCATTTTCCAGTAGAGCACTTTGCTTTCCGGCTGTGTAGTGCTGGGAATGAGATACTTGTTCCACAGCTCAGCCTCTGTATTCTCACACTACTCTTTGCCCATCCGCTGCTGCTTATTCCTCTCTGTTTTCTGTTCCAAGTTGGAGGTCACAAGCCAGGAAGAACAGTGGCAAGCACCTACCACATTCTTGTAGGTAATAGAGAGATTTCTCTCTTCATTGGAGAGATCATGTCCCTCCACTATTACAGCCTTCATGGCTGCAGCTATATCATCATAGCACTCAGCAAGTTTGGCTTTCTGTACCAGTTCAGTTCTGTCCATGGTCATTGTCCCGGAGGACTGTGGGGACCAAAGGTGCTTCTAGGAAGCTTGGAGAGTGTCAACTGCATCCTTCCCAGGCTCAGTCTTCAGGTGATGGTGGTGGCGGCTACCCGGTTCCTCCTCCATTGCAGCAGCTGCACTTCCAGTCCAGCCCGCCACCACTTTCATTCCAGCCCAAGTTCTCGTCAAAGAATTTTTTTTGTCTATTTTATTTGTTCTTTTTAATTAATTTATTTATTATTTATTATAATTTATTCACTTTGTATCCTGGCTGTAGGCGCCCACCCTGGTCTTCTCCCACCATCCTCTTCTCCCACTATGACCCTCTCCGAGTCCACTGATAGAGAACGACCTTCTCCCCTTCTATCTGACCCTAGCCTATTAGGTCTCATCAGGACTGCCTGCATCATCTTCCTGTGTAGCCTGGCAAGGCTATACTCCCCAAGGGGAGGTGATCAAAGAGCTGGCTACTGAATTCATGGCAGAGAATTTTAATACTGTATCTTCTCATTACAGTTAGTCTTTTAAATGAAGTAAAGATCTTCCAAAATAAAATATTTTTTTTTATCTACTAATGTGTTATAGTCTTTTATGTCATGGAGGCAGGTTACTTCATCCATGACAAGTCTTTTGCTAACTTACTATTCATTCAGCCTTGTTATCTCAAACAAACAAACAAACAAAAAAAAAAAACTCTTAGTGATAAAGGTACTTTTTTCTCTTACTAATTTCTAGGGCTATGAGTGACAATCCATATTACAGATATTAAGGTTAAACAAGGATAAAACCAACCTGTCAAGAAAACAATTCCTCATCCTCTAGAAAATACAGAATCAAAATAATTTTTGTAAAAGGGCTAGACAGGAAATACTTTGTCATCACAGACACACTTACTCATTGTGCTTAAATGCAAAATACAGGCTAAAGATCCTGAGGGCCTACTCTAGTATTTTCCAGATCTTTAAAAAAGGCAGTAACGACATCGAAAAAGGAAAAGTAGCATGGTGGGAAGATGGCAGTCTCCCAAATTTTTGTGCGTTAAAAGGAGTATACCCATCTGTGTTGAAAACTCACAGACACAAATACTTTTAAGTCCTATCTGGTAGCTCACACTTGTAATTTCAATACTCAGGAAGCTGAGGCAGAAGGATCACCACGAGTCTGAGGCCAGCCTCAGCTACATGGTAAATTGCATGCCAGCCTGTCTCAATAAGAAAAATTAAGTATGTTGGGCCCAGGAAATGGACCTTCGTTCAATTCCCAGCACCCACATCAGGCAGCTCCCAACTGCCTGGAGCTCCAGCCTCAGGAAGCCGCACCACTCCCACCATCTTGGGGACATACGGACACATGCATTCTCATGGGTAAATTAACTGCTTTTTTAATTTAAATGTTTGAAAGCACTGTGTAACTACTGAATAATTCCCTTGGTTAGTAATGGATCCTACCACATTTACAACAGCTATTGATTTTTTTTAAACCCACAGATCTTCAATGTGGCAAAGGCACTGCTGACAAGCCTGACAAACTAAGTTCGATCAATGGGCTCCAAATAGGAGGAGGAAACCCTTTCCAGTCTTCTGCCCCTACACACAATACACAAAAGTAAATAAACATTTTAAATGAAAACTTAAGAGTACCTCATACACAATCATGATTACTCCGAAAAAAAATGTTTAAATGAAATCTGCAAATTTAGAATTTTTACCTGCTATGATGTTCCCAGAACGTGCTACAACCTTGAATCCATCAGCTACTTTGTCTACACTGTCTCCATGTGTAAGTAAAACGATTTCTTCCTTCTGAAGGCCCCTAAACATTTAAAAGGTAGGATTTTTAAATTCACACACATCTCAACGAGAACCATGATTAATTGTAACCACTGTACTGGCTAATTTTATGACAACTTGATCTAAACTAGAGACATCAGAGAGGAAGGAGCCTCAACTGAGAAAATGCCCATAAAATTGGGCTCTTGGCAAGCCTGTTGGACATTTTATTAATCAGTGATTGATAAAAGAGAGCCCAGCCCGTGGTGGGTGTTGCTACCCCCGGGCTAGTAGTCCTGGGTCCTGTAAGAAAACAGGCTTAGTAAGCCATGAAGAGGAAGTCAGTAAGCAACACTCCACCATGGCCTCTGTATCTGCTCTTGCCTCTAGGTTGCAGCCCTGCTTGAGCTGCTGTCCTGACTTCCTTTTATGATAAACACTGATGTAGGAATGAAAGCTAAAGAAATCCTATCCAAGTTTCTTTGATCATAGAGTTTCATCAAAGCAACAGTAACCCTAACGAAGACAGTCATTTTGTTTAGAAATACAAATTTGCAATATGAAAGAATAAGAAAAGTCAGGGGGTAAAAGCTTCATAGCAATGTAACACTTGTAATTTATATAGATTTATATACAGACATACACACACTACTGTAAATAAAGCCAATAAAGAATATTAAATCTGAAAAAGGAGGCAACTAACAAAAATTTGTAACTAGGGGCTCTACTGATGGCTCAGTGGCTTAAAACAAGTATGAGGATCCAAGTTCAAATCCCCAGTATCCACATAAAAAGCCAGTTGTAACTCCAATGGGACCTGTAACCCCAATCCTGTGGGCTAACAAAACAAGAAGGTCACAGGTACTTCCAGGTGGCAAGGTTAGCGCCAGGTTCAGTCGGAGAATGTGCTTCAAGAGAATGAGGCAGAGAGCAAGACGAGGGTGGCCAACATCTTCTGTAGCTTCTGTGATATATGCCCAATGTGCATCTCACACACACACACACACACACACACACACACCATAAACCACACACACCACACACACACCCAAAAAATAACCTTTCAACTTGAATATAACATTATTATAATATTAATTTATGTTTATATATTTATTTATATATTATTATTGTAAATAAAAATAATAAATCTGTGAAGTTGGTACTCTAATTAGGCCAAAAGAGAAAATGTATATTAAACAGATAATAAAACAGTAATGTCAACATTTCATTTCTGAGATTTTTATCTTTAAAACAGATATTTCACAATTCACTATCATCTGCGTTTAATCAGTGGGACACAAACAGTGAAAGGAAAAAACTCTTTAGCAGTCTTCTGACCCACAAATGCAATACATATATAAAATAAATATAAAAACATTTTAAATGAGAATTTAATAATAATTCTGTTATTCTACAGCTATATGCACAGTATAGACACATATAAAGTGCAGTATATTATATAATCAGTGAAGAAGATTTTTCAGATGAAGATTTAAGAGATATGGGACTGGTTGGAGTGATGGCTTCATTGTTTAGGGTGCTTAGAGAGGACCCACATTTGGTTCCCAGTGCCACATTAAATGGCTCACAACCACTTATAACTTCAGTTACAGGAGATCCTACACCCTCTTAAGATCTCAACGGCAATGCATATACACAGGACTAACACACATATAGAGAGGGATGGAAGGAGGGAGTTAGCGAGAGAGGAAGGAAGGAAGGAAGGAAAGCAAGCAAGAGTGAGAGGTATTAAAATCAAAGCAGAGCTGGGCATGGTGGCACATGCCTGTAATGCCAGCACTCTGGGAGGAAGAGGCAGGTAGATCTCTATGAGTTCGAGGCCAGCCTGGTCTACAAAGCAAGGACAGCCAAGGATAGAGAGAAACCCTGTCTCAAAACAAACAAACAAACAAGTGCTGCCGGAAAGAAATCCTATAAACATTTACATTAACTAAAAATAATAATATACTGATAGTATCCTATTTAAAAACAAAAGAAAAAACACAAACATACTGCCTAAGTGTTCACAAAACACCTGGAAATAAGCATAACCCGGCAGGCAAGGGTGGAGATCTAGTGCCAAACAGTTACTTATGAAAGGGAAGCGGTTGGTACCTGGGACCCACACGGGGTAGGTACAGAGCCAACTCTCAAAATTAGTCTCTGACCTCCACACATGCCTATGGCATGAGCACATAAAACAGAAAAAAATAAAACTCCCACAAGCTGTCCTCTGACTTAAAAAAGACACACAAACACACACACACACACACACACCATACATGCCACACACATGCTGTGGCATACACATGACTAAACACAAAATTAAATAAATGTAATTTTAAAATACCTGAATAATGAGCATGTATTATCTATACTAATGCTGAAAACGCCATCTTCTCTAACATTTTTTTTATGCACAGTGCCTCCAAAAACCTTATTCATCATCTGTTCAAAGAAAAAATACGTTAATATGAATGCTAAAATTAATTTTTTATAACTTTACTTTCAAAATGTTTTGTTTGTATAAAACATACCTGAGTAAACAAATGTTTAATAAAGGTGGGTAACTGTTGTTACTAAATATAAAGTTATTAAGAGGCATACACTTGTATCAAAACTCGACTAGGAACACTGACACACTTTCTATTTCATATACCTTTAATTCACATTAAAAAAAGAAAATTCACCCAGGCATGGTGGCACACGCCTATAATCCCAGCAATCAGGGAGGCAGAGGCAGTTTAAGACCAGTCTGGTCTATAAAGTGAATCCAGGGCAGCCAAGGCCGCAAAGAGAAACCCTGTCTCAAAAAAACCAACAAAAAGAGTGATCCACTTTGATAATTATACAAGTCTGAATGGTTGAATTAGAGAATAAGAAGAAAGATGAGAGGCTAAAGCAGACATTAGATAAAGGCAGTGCAATGAAATTCTCCTGTTTATACAAACAGCATGTGGGCATGGTGGTGCATGCCTTTAATCCCAGCACTGGAGAGGCAGAGGCAGGCAGATCCCTGAGTTCAAGGCCAGCCTGATCTACAAAGCAAGTTGCTAAATCTTAAGATTTACATATAATTTATATAACATATAATTATTTTCTATATATATGTATATATATTCTTGAGTTTAAAAGCAAACCAGGGAGGGGTATGATGGCTATTCTTGCTTGTCAACTTGACTACAACTAAAATTAACTAAAGACTGAGTTGTTGGGCACACCTGTAATGAACTTTTAGTTGATTGGCTCATTATACACAGGAAGATCTGCCTTTAAATCTAGATTGTGTCCCCACAATCTGGACCACACTTTCTCCTGGCAGCCAGGACAAGAGAAAGAAACTTTTGCCTTTGCCTGCTGACCCCTGCTCTTGATTAACTGGCATTAGCGCCTACTTCTTTGGGATTCTGATGTATACTAAAGTTCTGGTAGGATATCAACCTCATGGACTGAATACTAGTGGATCCTGAGATGTTCCATCAGGAGATAGTCAATGTTAGACTTCCTGGACCACAGCCTATAAGCCACTCTAATAAATTCCATATATATGTATATATGTATATTTTGTTCCTCTAGAGAATGCTGACTGATATGGGGGGAGGAGTGGTGAGAGGAAGATTTTTTTTTTTCTAAGTGAAAATGTTACAGTACTCAATGGGCTTTCAACAGGATTACCCATTTGTGGGTAGTTTGGATTATGTAGCAAAAAGTTCTGTATCTAAGCAAGATGAGAGAGAGAAAGGGAGAAGAGGAGAGGGAAGGGAAAAGAGAAGGAAAGGACACAGTAGGCACATAAAATGTGCTAATATGCAACTACTAGTAATACGTTATTCAGGAACACTTTCTAGCTGTTTCCAGATGATCCAATCAAGTAACACAATGTTTAAATGTTGGCTTGTAGCATAAAAGAGAACTTTTAAAAACATTTATGGTCTGTGTTTCTATTCCCTTACATCTTGTTTAATGAAACTATTTTTGATAAGTGAGATTTTAGCATTTTTGGCTTAACATTATCTATCATCATATTCAATGACACTGAATACTTGTCTGGCAAATAGCTAAAATGGCCACAATGGAGAATACAACCAATAAAAGTGGCTAAGAGAAACAACAGGAACTCTCACTGTTTAAAAGTGGACGGTGTTGGGCACAGAGGCACATACCTTTAATCCCACCACTGGGGAGGCATAGGCAGGAGAAGATCTGTGAGTGTAAGGCTAGCCTAAGTTAACTTACATAACATGTTTCAGGCTGGCCAGTGCTACATTGTGAGGCCTTGTCTCAAATAATTAAATAGATATATGGGTGGATAAATGAATAAATGGGAGTTTGTTAAGTAGAATGATCTAGTTTATTTATGAACATGTTGCCCTATAAGGCCAGCTCCATCATAGGATAGCAATTAAAACTCAGTAGTAACATGGCCAGACTATCTTAAATAGACAGTGTTTAAATCACAAAAATAAAACATTAAGTCAACTCTCAAACTCAATTTGTAGCTGTACCTGCATGCCATAGCAAATTCCTAGAACAGGCTTGCCAATGGTAAATATTGCTGGATCAAACCAGGGAGCATCCTCTGCATACACAGAATTAGGTCCTCCAGATATGATAATAGCCCTGTGGATTGAGTAAAAGAGGAGTCAGTAAATAATGTGACTGCTACTCTTTAAATATAACAATATATGGTACTGTAACGTGCATAAAGATTGAAGAAAAATACAAGTACAAACACAGATCTTCCAATACTAAGTTGTTTTCCACATTCAACACATTCGGAAGATTATCTGTCTCATTTTACCCTATATGCCCAGTCCTAAGGTCAATACTGTCATCTAACTCAGCTAAGTCACAATTTACAACAAAACATTCTTTCTTCCTTACTTCTTTCTTTTTTAAACCTGGGTCTAGGGGGCATAACCCTTTCATTTCAGGACAAGTAGAGCCGAGACAGGAATATCTTTCTGGGGATCACCTGGACTATATTTAGTTCTAGGCTACCAGGAATAAGGAGTGAGACCTTGTAAAGGGGAGGGAGGGAGAGAGGGAGAAAGAGAAGAATGGGAGGAAAGACAGCACGAAGCTGGGCATGTGGCTCAGCTGGTCAGTACTTACCTAGCATTCAGAGCCCTGGGCCCGATTTCCAGCACCACACAGACTACATATGATGGCACACACCTGTAATCCTAGCACTCAAGGCAGAAAAGTCAGGAGTTCAACCTTATCCTCAGGTTACATCCCAAGTTCAAGGCCAGTCTAAACTATATAAAGACCTTATCTCAAAAAAAGAAAAGAAAAAGAAAAAGAAAAAACAACAAACCACAAAGTTAGGCCTTATAGTGCATGCCTCTGACTAATTTCGGAAGGAGGTTGATCCAAGAAAATCACCACAAATCTGTGGCCAGGACAGAGCTACAATATTAAATTCAGCGACAGCCAAAGAGACTACAAAGCAAGAGTCTGTTTTGTTTTGTTTTTAAAGAAAAAGGGAAATATGGAAATATACATGTGGCCAGTGACATGGCAGCACTTGCTACCAAGCCTGATGATGACATGAGTTTGATCCCTGAAATTCAAGTGGCAGAAGGTGAGAACCAACTCCTACAAACTGTCTAACTTCTTCAAGCTCACACATATATGTATATGCACACACACACACACAGTACAATTTTTAAAAATAAAACATATTGGAGGAGAAAGACAGCACACTTAGTGTTAGGTCTGAAACTCCAGACAACTGCGCACAATAACATATCTGGGAACATATCGAGGTGGACACTGGCCACTGGCCACCAAGTTTGCAGGCCTCCCTGAGTCCCTCAGTCCCTACCTGTTACATGCTATGGCTGACATATTCCAACCCCTACCCTACACTTCTCCAGCCCAGCCCTTCTTTACATAATCCAACCATTTTGGTTACCTGCCCCTTTGGTCTATCCCTTAATCTTTTTTCCAAGATTGCATCTCTAGGTGGGCAGCTCTTTCCCCTTCCCTCTCTCCATAAGACCTAGCTCAAGGTCATGTTCATTCTAGGCTCTCCCATGTCCCTGCCTCTGGCTATGCTCTCCCCTTTATCCACGATAAACTTTGTCCTCCTCGGAGCAGTCATGTCCTTCCTTTTTTGTTTGGAGGGGGCATTCAAGACAGGGTTTCTCTGTGTAACAGTCCTGGCTGTTACAAAGCAAGTCCTGGACTTGCTTTGTAGACCAGGCTAGCCTTGAACTCACAGAGATCCTCCTGCCTCTGCCTCCCAAGTGCTGAGATTAAAGGCATGAACCACCATGCCAGATGTCCTTTCTTACTTCTTTACTTTCATTCACCTAGTGTAAAAGTCTGAGACTCAATTAAGGATGGCCACTGCAATCCATAGGAAAAGGCAGAACATATATTGAACCAAAAAGTCTCATATAACTTGGCTGTTTTGACTGGTAGGAAGATGAGTTACTGGAATTAGCCTTATTTGATTTGGGATTTTTTTTTCTTTTAGCAACTAGTTTTTCAAGGTTGGAAATGAAAGGGACATATAAATAAGTACTTCTTCCCTTTCAGCTACTCTACCCAACTATTTGTACATTTTTCCTTTGATTAAGTACAATTAAGACCAATGAACAAATGATCACTATAAGCACATTTAACTCTGACCCACAAATCATATATGATATAAACTACTCAAACAAGGTGGTTAGCAGTATAATGAAAATCAAGGTAACAGCCCCGGCATCATCAAAACAAACAAAAAATCAAAACATCAACATAATCTTTCTGACTGAGAGTAAAATTATTCCTTCTAAATTCCAAATCAGATATAGGAAATTTGTTTTAAAAAACTATGTTAGGTTTAATTAGAAAAATTCAATGCCCAAGTAAACTAATCATAAAATATCCCAAAATCTATATTCAATCTAATAGAGGACATATCAGCCAAAAGCTACCGAAATCCTTGTTCCTTTATGGCAAAGGCTGGTGTTTCCAAGGGGAAGATTTCCGACTGCACAAAAAGCTCCCGCACTCTTCTGTCAATGACTTTGCCATATTGAGCCCCAGCATCCAGAATGACAACAGCTCCTTCGTAGTGGTAACAGCCATCCTTAAGGTCTCCTCCAGCATTTTCTGGCTACAAGCAAAACAAACATAAGTTCTTATTTTCAAAGTCTGCATTACTCAGGGCTAATGAGATGGGTAATCAGGAAAAGACGCACAGCCAATCCTGAAGACCTGAGTTTGATCCCTGAGGCCTACACAGCAGAATAGAGAAGCAATTTCTGTAAGCTGTCCTCTGTCCTCCACATGCATGCTGTGGCACACAGTGTCTCCACACACACACACAAAAGTTTTCACTTACACTATTTTAAAAAATAGAAGGCCATGGAGGGGACTGGAGCTCCACAAGGAGAGCAACAGAACCAAAATATGTGGGCACAGGGATCTTTTCTGAGACTGATACTCCAACCAAGGACCATGCATGGAGATAACCTAGAACCCCAGCACAGATGTAGCCCATGGCAGGTCAGTGTCCAAGTGGGTTCTCTGGAAATGTGAGCAGGGACTGTCTCTGACAGTGGCTCACTCTTTGGTCACCTTCTCGGGAGGGGTAGCCTTACCAGGCCACAGAGAAAGACAATGCAGCCAATCCTGATGAGACCTGATAGGCTAGAGTCAGAGGGAAGGGGAGGGGGTAGGAGGAGAAGAGGGAGGGAGGGCAGGATTGGGAGGGGGCTACAGCTGGGATACAAAGTGAATAAATTGTAATAAATTTTAAAAAATTTTTTAAAAATCCAAGCGGTTAACTTACACTGCATTTCTAAGCTATGGACTCAGAAGTTCTTTTAAGATGTTAGTATATACTCACACGTGACACATGAACATGCGAGTACAAGCTGTTGTGGTCACTACTGCTAATGTGCTTTATAGACACCATCAAGCAGTGGGACAGGCAAACAACCCTGTTCTGCTAGCAGCTCTGATTCCTGCCTGGTATGCCAGCATTCACGTTACTTGCGCCTCTTCTGGACAATAAGTCCCCAAGACAGGGTTTCTCTGTGTAGCCTTGGCTATCCTGGACTCACTTTGTAGACCAAGCTAGCCTGGAACTCAAAATGATCTCCTGCCCCTGCCTCCCTGAGTACTGAGATTATAGGTGTGCCACACCTGTAATCCCAGCACCACACCTGGGGGACCGGTCTTTTTTAAGAATTTATTTTTAAGATTATAATTATATCATTTCCTCTTTCCCTTCCAAACCTTCCCATCTACCCACCCCTTGCTCTCTTATATATTAAAGGTCTTTTTCTTATTACATATATATGTGTGTGTGGCTGTGTGTGAGTAAACATATCCCCTAAAATATGAATACAACCTGTTTAATCTATACAATGTAATTTGTATGCACATGTTTTAGGGCCATTTTGTGTACTCTTCTCTAAGGAAGGCTTTCCTCCTACTTTCAGAATTCCTTAGTTGCCTAGGAACTAAACAAGCAAGCATCATGAATTAGCCTGTCTATTGGTGTTTTCCTTGTTCAGGTTTTGTTTAGGCAGTCATGTGAGTGACCCTTTCTGGGTACAGCTTTTGACATTTCTAGGAAGTACAATCTGTAACCTAGTCTTTATGATATACATCACTCTGAATTATTTTTTCCCAGGTGTATCAGAGTGTTGCCTGCATGTACCCCATGTGCAAGCATGCCTGGTGCCTGAGGAGGTCAGAAGAGGCCCTCAGAACCCCTGAAAATGGAGTTACCGCTGGTTTTAAGACGCCATGTGGGTATGGGAATAGAACTCGGTCCTCTAGAACAGCAGCAAGTGCTCTTGAGAGCTGAGCTGTCTCTCTAGCCCACTACATGATTCTTTTGCTTTGGACATTAAAATATAATGCATACTTTAGCTTCTCTCTTTCTTAATAAGAAGCTAACTAAGGAAAGAAAGACACCAGAAAGGAGAAATCACTTAGAGGTACTCTAGAGGTAAGCCTAATAATAATAAACCCAGGATATCTCACACTCCGTAGGGTAATAAGCTCACAGATAAACTGAGAGAAATGCTCACATTTAATTGAAAACAGCTTTTATTTGACTTTTTAAAAAACCCAACCTAGCTTGGCTAGGATGTGGCTTAGTTGGTAGAGCTCTTGCCTGGAATGCAGAAACTTGGGTTTAATCTCCAATACAGCATAATCCCCAGTTTGACATAAACAGAACTTTGTGATGCACAGGGTGATGGAGGTTAAGGGGCTCAGTGCTTCAAGGTCATCCTCAGCTATATAGCAGGAGTCTATCCTGGACTACATGAAACCTTGTTTCAAAATAAAAACAAAATACAATTCCAACCTTATTGAATCCAAAATCTACATGCTGAGATTATGTGCCTGATCATCACCATGCCCAGCTTCAAAGCTCTTTTTGTTTTTTTTACATCTTGTTTTAGCCACATGTGGTCATATACATCTATAAATAATCCTAGCAATAGGAAAGAAGAACGGAGTTCTAAACTAAAGTCATCTACAAAAAAACAACCTACGATGGTGAGATTTAAACTAAAACTACAACCAACCTATATTGTACTGCTGTATGCCAAGATTTACACCTTTTAAGCACTGTAACCTATATATCCCAACCTGGGAAATGGGAAATATCTCAACTTTTGGCATTAATGAGGGAGGGAAGGAGGGAAGAGGGAAGGAGAGAGGGAGGGAGGGAAGGAGGGAGGGAAGGAGGAAGGAAGGAAGGAGAAAAGAATTCCTATAGCCATAAAACTAAGTTAAAAAAAAAATCACAGGGCTATTAAATTATGAGGGATAGACAAGATAAATTCTGAGATATATATACAATGCAAAAACCAAAATAAGAAAAAGGAACAGAGGCTGAAGAGATGGCTCAGCAATTAAGAGCACTGGCTGTCTCTTCACAGGACCCAGGTTCAATTCCCAGCACCCACATGGCAGCTCACAACCAGCTTCAAGTCTAGTTTCTGGGAACCCAACACCCTCTTCTGGCCTCCTTGGCCACCAGGCATACATGTGGTGCAGATACTTTTACAGGCAAACCACCCATACATATAAAATAACAAACCCAACCACTGGCATGTACATCACCACAGTTACCAATGCACTGCTGCAGCCACTGCATGACTGACTGCCAGGGTGTGAGGAACTTCAGAAGTGATGGAAACACCTACCTGTGGCCGGCTGCTTACACGTCCTGTCAAGAGTCAAGCCGTGTACTTGAGTATCTGTACAGGTTACTATACAGTACATCTAATCTTTTTTAATTTTTCTATTATTATTATTATTATTATTATTATTATTATTATTATTATTATTATTATTATTATTAGCTTTGAATCCCAGTTGTAGGCACCTCTCTCATCTCCTCACAGCCCCACCCTCCCTCCCTTTTCTTCCCCAATCTCTTTTCCCCAGTCAATTAACAGGAGAAGTCCTCCTCCCCTACTGTCTGACCCTAGCCTATCAGGCCCCATCAGGACTGCTTGGCTCTTCCTCCACTGTGGGCGGGCTAGGTTGTCCCATCAGGGAAACGTGATCAAGAAGCAGGCAACCAAGTTCATGTCAGAGAGTGTCTCTTCTCCCCTTACTAGGAAAACCATGTGGAAACTGAGCTGCCTATGGGCTACATCTGAGTAGGGGGTCTAGGTCCTCTCTAGGCATGGTCTTTGGTTGATGCATCAGTCTCTGCAGACTCCCGGGGCCCAGGTTTTTTGTTTTTGTTTTTGTTTTGTTTTTTTCTTTGTTGATCTCCTTGTATGGCTCCTGTCCCCTCTAGGCTAGGTCCTTTTATATCCCCCTTCTTCATAACACTTCCTATGTTCTGGCCAAAGTTTGGCTGTGAGTCCGCATCTGCTTCCACGCCCTACTGGGTGCAGTCTTTTAGAGGACATCTGTGGTAGGCTCCCATCCTGTTCCCTCTCTCTACCACTTCTGGTGTCTATCCTATTTTCCCTTCTGAATGAGTATTAAGCATCTTCCTTAGGGTCCTCCTTGTTAATTAGCTTCTTGTCTTCTTGCCTGTAGATTTCTGTATGTTTATCCTGTATTATATGGCTAATCCCCACTTATCAGTGAGTGTATACCATGTGTGTATGGTATAGTTCTGGTTCTGGGTTACCTCAAGATAATCTTTTTTAGTTCCATCCATTTGCCTGCAAATTTCATGATTTCCTTGTTTTTAATAGTTTAATAGTGTTCCCAACAAAATGACAGCCTACAGACTGGGAAAAGATCTTCACCAACCCTACATCTGCTGGGGGCCAATATCCAGAATATACAAAGAACTCAAGAAATTAAACACCAACAAACCAAATAATCCAATTTTAAATGGGTTACAGAGCTAAACAGAGAATTCAACAAAAAAATACTGAATGGCGGAAACACTTAAAGAAATGCTCAACATCCTTAGTCATCTGGGAAATGCAAATTAAAATGATCCTGAGATTTCACCCTACACCCATCAGAATGGCTAAGATCAGAAACTCAAGGGACAACACATGCTGGAGAGGATGTGGAGAAAGGGGAACCCTCCTCCATTGCTAGTGGGAATGCAATCTTGCATAACCACTTTGAAAATCAATCTGGTGCTTTCTCAGAAAACTGGGAATACTGCTACCTCAAGAACCAGCTATACTACTCCTGGGCGTAGATATGAAAGATGCTCCACCATACAACAAGGACATTTGCTCAGCTATGTTCATAGGAGCTTTATTCGTAATAACCAGAATCTGAAAACAACCTAGATGTCCCTCAACCAAAGAATGGATACAGAAATTGTAGTACATCTATTCTTAATAAAAACTTAAATTTAAAAAAATCCAAACTATCACCTATTTCCACAAACCAAAAGATGCTGTCACAATGAGTAACGGTCACCATCAGTCTTGCAGAGCATTAGATAGTAATACTCTATGCCGCATCACTAATGCTAAGTCTCAAAACTAAGAGGCAGTTTGCTTGCTACAAAATCACAAGTCTAGGCTAAGGTAGTAGGGTACCTGACTAGTATGTACAAGACCTAAGATTGGGGAGAGGAAACAAGAAGGAAGACATAGTTCGATAGACAGTACCTGCCTGGTCTTGCATATATACACACAGTAAAACATAACATTTCACTAAGCACATGTGGCCAGGTGTTGTTACCTGTGCTAAAATCAGTAGATCTGCTGTAGGTAAATAGCAAATTATTCAAACATGTTTTTAAAGTTTGGGGAGGACATCTAGAACAATTATCCAAAGAACTGCAGATTTGTAATTCCAGCACTCAGGAAATGAAGGTGGGAGAAATTTAGGAAAAACCTGAAATACATGAGACCTTCTCTTCTCATAACCCTCCAGAGTAAAAAGTCTTCACCATATTACAATGCATCAATTTAAAAAAAAGAAAAACTGAAATGGAAAAGGAGGAGAAGGAGGAGGAAAAGAAGGGAGAGAGAGGAGGAGGAAAAAGAAGAAAAGCAGTAGGGAAAGGTACATGCCTCTAATCCCAGCATTCAGGAGGGAAAGGGAGGCAGATCTCTGAGTTCAAGGCCAACCTGGTCTACATAGCAAGCTCCAGAACAGCCAGGGCAACGTAAAGAAATATTGTCTAGAGGAAACAAAACCAAAGATCATCAGCTATGTACATGAATTAGAAAAAAAATTCAGATAGTAAAAAGAAAAATCTGTCCCACTCCAAAGACACTCCCACTTGGTTCCTAGAAGGCTTTTTGGAACCTAAGCCCATATTACAAAAGTATTCTTTTTGTTTATTGCAAGTATATTAAAAAATTATGAAAGGCAAACTGAGCATTGTGGCTCACAGTCCTAATCCAGAAGACTGGAGCTGGAGGAATGCCATGATTTCCAAGCAAGACTCTTCTATAATGTGAAAACCTGTCTCCAAAACCATATACACTGGGGTTGGAGAAATGTCTCTGCCATCAGAAGCACTGGCTGCTCCTCCAGAAGATTCCAGGCTCAGTTCCCAGAAACCACATGGGGGATTACAACCATACATAATTCCAGTTACAAGGGTATAATACCTTCTTTTGGTTGCCACTAGCACCAGCCACCTACACATACACTCAGGCAAAATATCACTTTCTTAGTCTTTTAAGGCCAATGATAAGTACGGCCAAAAGCAACCTGGAAAGGAAAAGGTATAGTTGTGGTCCATCATCAGAGAAGTCAGGGCAGGAGCGCAATGCAGGAACACGGAGGCTGGAACTGAAGCAGAACCATAGAGGAAGGATGCCTGCTGGCTTGCTCCCCATGTTTTCTTATACAACCCAGCACCACCTACCCACATCAAGAAAATGCCCTATTGACTTGTCTACAGGCAATCTGGGAGGAATTTTCTCAACTACTTTCCTATCTCCCAGATAACAAAAAGCCAGACAGACACCCATCTACATAAAATAACATAATTTTTAAAAGTTTTAAAAACAGGCCGGAGATGGCTCAGTAATGAGCACTGGCTGCTCTTCCAGAGGATTCAGATTTCAGTTCTTAGCATCCACATGGCAGCTCACAACTGTCTGTAATTCCAGTCCCACAGGATCTGATGTGCTTTTCTGGCCTCCATGGGCACACAGACACATACATGTGGTACCCAGAAACACAAGCCGGCACACTCATAAACGTGTAGGTGTTTGTGTGCGTGAGTGCGTGTGTACTGAGGCTGGCCTTGGACTGATGCTCTAGTTTCCACCTTGAAGGTGCTGGAATAGCATCTGTGATGGCTAATTCTAATTGCCCAGTTTAAGAATTAGTTTATTTTGTATCAAGCTTTTTCATTTAAATTTTGTATAATTCTGTTTCGCCTGCATGCATGTCTTCACCATGTGCATGCAGTCCCCACAGGGTCCAGATGAGGGCGTTAGATCACCTGGGACTGGAGTTACAGACAGCTTTGAGTTTCTCACCTCCCCTACATGACCTTGAAATGAAGTTCAGCTAATTCGCCTTGAACTCAAGTATATTACAATGATCAAATTTCTCATCTTAAAAAAAAAACTATGCTCATTCTCTTTGAGATAATTTGAAAGCTGGAATTGTAACTTTCTGGTGTGGCTTAATTTTGTGAAAACACTTTTCTCACTCGCAGTATGTTCTAACACCGCATCGGATTCATCCATCAAGATGAATCAGTGAGTTATAAGATTCAAAATTAAAAACAAGTGTACATAAGTGTGTGGTGAGATTATTCTTCAGAGTGCGACAGGCGCCTAGGTTTGGGAATATAGGTGCTACCTCACAATATTCATTCGTTCAATACTGGTTCTGAATGACAACTACCAAACAGCCATTCACCAAGTTGAGACACTTAAGCTCCATGTCTGTAAGTGCTGAAATTATGCCTGGCTGTAGGGTTTGGAGTTCCAGACACCGAAAGAGTAATAAGTTAGCCAGTTTCCTAAAGCTAGGCCACAACAATGCACCGGGTGATACACACCTCGCTAAAGTAAATGACATTTCGGCACTGCAGTTTCCCGCCGACAACTGAATTTGTGTAAGTCATAAAGATCTCCAGGGAAAAGACGACTTTAACTCGGAAGGGAAAGGGGGCCAATTATGAGGCCCGGCGAGAAAGAAAGGTCTAAGGCTGGGAGTTGAGGGCGTCAAAAAGCGCCTCAACGGCCCAACGCTCTAGTGTCGTGGCTTACGCAGTCAGCCAACTTTTTCCAGCAGACCTCGGCTCCCAGGGAGAGACCCCAAAGGCAGGAATACGCATCCCCCAAAACTAGCATGTGAATCATGAGGCAGGGTGTTGAGGAGCAGAACCTGGCCACACTCTTCCCCTCCGAGGACGGCGGGAGAACCGATACAGAGCACACCTGGGAGCAGCAACAGAGGCTGCGGTCGGCGTGTTCTTCAGGGCCCCTCGGCAGCGGGGCGACAGAGGCCCTCACCGACCAGGTGAAAACACCAAAGGCCTGCTCGGTGCGACCGCCGCACGCGAGGCTCCGACCCCTGCGGCTGAAGGGCGCCGGTGCCCCTAAAAACCGCGGCCCACGGCCAGGTGGCCTCTGCGCTGGAACTCGGCGCCCTCGGCCCGGGGGCAGCTGCCGCCACTCAGATCTACAAACTAGCAAAGCCAACAAAGCGCCTCCGATACCGGAAAGCCGCGCCGCAGGCCGGGCTGGGTCTCGCCGAGCGCCAAAGCCCTGGCGGAGGGACGCGGTCGGACCCCCAAGGCCTTGCTCACGCTGCCGGAGGGCGGCAGGGGCCGCAAGCACACACTGACCTTGGAATCTCCGTTGCACAGGGCCATCGGGGATCGGCGCCGGAGGCGGAGACCGCTAGCGAGGCCTGGATGGGAGAGCAGCACAGCGCCGGGACCGGCTGACGGTGGCAAGCGTGCAGCACGGCAGCAGCTCAGAACGTGGCCGCAGGCCCGGGGCACAGAAGCTGCGCTCCGCTCCCGCCTCCAGCTTCCGCCTGGCCGCCTCCAACTGGCCCGCCCTCAGAGGCGGGGCCGCGCAAGCCCCTCCCTCGCCGTCGCTCGGGGAAGGGAGGCCCCAGCCTACTGGAAAGGAAAGCATTAACCGCGCAGCTGAGGCCAGGATCGCCTTACTGAAAGGAGGAGCCCACGCGCTGGAATTGTCTCTCCCCCAAAGCCAACTTCCCCCCCCCAAAAAAAAAAAACAGTCGGAGGCCCCTTGCGCTGGAGGGACACCTGACTTCTGTGGCAGCTAAAGGCTGGAGGCACAAGGGAGCAAGCCTCCGGGACCCTCTGGGGTAGAGGAGTTCCAGTTGAGGGATGGAGAGGCAAGGTTTAGGTTCATCAAGTCTGTGGGATTTCAAAAAACAAACAAAAAAGTGGGGTTGAGAGCAAAGTTGATTGGCAGCTCTAGCAGGCTGCTCCTGGAGCTCAGTATAGCAAACTGCTTTCAAAGGACTGTTTTCAGAAAAGGAACTGTAGTGCCTCCAGGTAGCTTCTTGGCAGCCATCAGGGCAAATATTACGAGACTGGTTATCTGAAAGCCTGAATCTGGGTTGGGAGAAAAACAATAACAGAATCTGTAGCAAAGCTTCCTGGTTTACTCCTGAATATCTACATCAAGGAAGCTGAGGCAAGAGAATTGCCACGACTTTGAGGCTCCAAGACCTTGTCTCAACAAAACAAAACGACTTTGAATAGTCACTTCTTTAAACAATTATCCATCTATTATAAAACATAACATTTGCTCTGCTGTGAGACTGTAGTTCAGGTATTGGGGAGTGACAGGCAAACTAGAACCGCCACAACTTATTTTAAGGGTGTCCTGATCTTGAGAATAGTGGAGGAGGACTGTTCTCACACATCTTTTACAAACCAGAAAACTAAGATGCAATAAAATAATTTGCCACTCAGGTAGTCCTATTTTGGGGAGGGGGGGTAGGAGGTTAGTTGAAAAAATGAGTTGAATTTTCCAATGCCATGATACTGGGTTATCTTGGTGGGTCTGTATGAACAATCCAGAATGTAGTTAGCTGATAGAACAGCCTCAACTTACATAAACATCCACCCACCACCACCCAAAACCCCCAGGCAGGGCAACAGAATGGGATATGATAACTGCCATTAAGTATTGGCTACATACCATGACAACCTCAAATCTTTGTAAGCTGCAAAATACATTTCGACCAGGTTTGGGCGTGGGGTGGTACACACCTTTAGTCCCATCACCCAGGAGGTAGAGACAGGTGGATCTCTGTGAGTTCTAGGCCAGCCTGATCTACAGAACAAGTTCCAAGACAGCCTGGGCTACACAGAGAAACCCCTGTCTCAAAACAAAAACAAACAAATAATGGATTCATAGTGTTACAATCAGTGTGGCTCAGGCTTTTTTGTTTTACTCTTCCAGATAGGGTTGCTCTGCAGACCAGGCTGACCTTGAATTTGGATCCACCTGCCAGTGCCTCCCAAGGGCTGGGATTTAAAGCATATACCACCACCTCAGTTTTTCACAATAAGCTGTAATTTCTCATACAGCCTACCTTACTGAAGAAATTACTTTCTATTTACTTGCTTATCTGTTTGTTGTTGTTGTTTTAAGAATGGATGGTAGCCAGCCACCATCTTTGAACCCAGTACTTGGGAAGCCAAGGCACACACATCTAAGTTCCAGGACAGCCAAGGCTATACAGGGAAACCTTGGTGGGGGTGGAGAGATGACTCAGCAGGTAAGAACAAACCAATCATAAGGACATGAGTTCAATTCCCAGCACATCAAACCCAGGTGTGGCCACATTCACCTATAAACCCAAAAATGTGAGGGCAGAGATAAAAGAAGCACATGGGTTACTGGCAACCAGCCTAGCCTCAGACTCAGTGAGAGAACTTGTGTTCAAGAGAATAAGGTGGAGGTTGATAGAGCAGAACACCCAACATTCACCCATGGCCTCTGTGCCTATAAACACGTGTGCACACAGAACACCACACACACACACACACACAGAAATAAGAACTTCTAAAACTGTCAACAAAAAAGAATGGATAATGTGACTGAAGAAGCCCTACACTTTCTCAGGCATCCATGGCAGTTGGAGGCCAGCCTAGGGTACACAGTGAGTTCCAAGATAATCTGGCCTACAAAACTAAGAAAAGGAAGTAAATGAAAGAAAAATGTTCAAAGGCTCTTGAGATATCTTTTTTGAGCTCTAGATTCCTGTTAGGGGGTGATGGTTAATCTTGGCTCTCTGGAATCAACTAAGAGATAAGCCACCGGCCACAAGTGTAATAGATTTTCTTTTTTTTTTTTTTTTTTAATTTTTTTATTTTTATTTTATTTTTCTTTTTAGTTACATTTTGTTAACTCTGTGTCCCAGCTGTATCCCGCTCCCTCATTCCCTCCCCAACCCCACACTCCCTCCCTGGTCTCCTCCCTGCCCCTTTCCAAGTCCCCTGATACGGGAGGACCTCCTCCCCTTTCATCTGACCCTGTTTTATCAGGTATCTTCAGGGCTGGCTGCAAAGTCCTCCTCTGTGGCCTAACAGACTGCTCCTCCCCTGGGGTGGGGGTCAAACAGCCTGCCCTTGAGATCCTATTAGAAATAGTCCGTGTTCCCCTTACTTTGGAAAACTACTTGGTTACTGAGCTACCACGGGCCACATCCGAGCAGAAGTTCTAGGTTATATCCATAGATGGTCCTTGGTTGAGTTTCAGTCTCAGAAAAGACCCTGTGCCCAGATATATTTGGTCCTTGTAGAGCTCCTATCCTTTCCATATCATACTAACTTCCCTTCTTTCATATGATTCCCTGCACTCTGCCGAGGGTTTGGTTATGAGTCTTAGTGTCTGCTTTGAAACACTGCTAGGTAGAGTCTTTCAGATGCCTTTTGTGATAGACTCCTGTCATAAGTTCAATGCACATCCCATTTGTCTTTCTAAATGAGGATTAATCACCTTCGCCTGTGTCCACTTTCTTGATTATCTTCTTTAGGTGTGTAGATTTCATTATGTTTATCATGTCTTGTAGGTCTATATAAGCGAGTATATACCAAGTTTGTCTTTCTCCTTCTGGGATACTTCACTCAGAATGATCTTTTCTAGATCCCACCACTTGCCTGCAAATTTCATGATTTCTTCCTTTTTGATTGCTGAGTAGTATTCCATTGTGTAAAAATACCACAGTTTCTGTATCCATTCCTCCGTTGACGGACATCTGGGTTGTTTCCAAGTTCTGGCTATTACAAATAAAGCTGCTATGAACATGGTTGAACAAATGTCCTTGTTGTGTACTTGAGCAAATTTTGGGTATATACCTAGGAGTGGTATAGCTGGGTCTTGAGGTAGCACTACTCCTAGTTGTCTGAGAAAGCGCCAGATTGACTTCCAGAGTGGTTGAACCAGTTTACATTCCCACCAGCAATGGAGGAGGGTTCCCTTTTCTCCACAACCTCTCCAGCATGTGCTATCACTTGAGTTTTTCATCTTGGCCATTCTGATGGGTGTAAGGTGATATCTCAGGGTCGTTTTGATTTGCATTTCCCTAATGGCTAATGAGGATAAGCATTTCTTTAAGTGTTTCTCTGCCATTCGACGTTCCTCTTTCGAGAATTCTCTGTTTAGCTCTGTTCCCCATTTTTTAAGTGGATTACTTGGTTTGTTGCTTTTCTGCTTCTTTAGTTCTTTATATATACTGGATATTAGCCCTCTGTCAGATAAAGGGTTGGTGAAGATTCTTTCCCAATCTGTAGGCTGTCTATTTGTTTTGATGACAGTGTCTTTTGCTTTACAGAAGCTTTTCAGTTTCATGAGGTCCCATTTATTGATTGTTGCTCTTAGAGCCTGTGCTGTTGGTGTTCTGTTCAGGAAGTTGTCTCCTGTGCCAATGAATTCTAGGCTGTTTCCCACTTTTTTTTCCAGCTGATTTAGAGTATCTGGTTTTATGTTGAGGTCCTTGATCCACTTGGACTTTAGTTTTGTGCAGGGTGATAAATATGGGTCTATTTTCATTTTTCTGCATGTAGACATCCAGTTGGTCCAGCACCATTTGTTGAAGATGCTGTCTTTTTTCCATTGAATGGATTTGGCTTCTTTGTCAAATATTGAGAATTCATAGGTGTGTGGGTTTATTTCTGGGTCTTCTATGCGATTCCATTGATCCTCCTTTCTGTTTCTATGCCAATACCATGCAGTTTTTATTACTGTTGCCCTGTAGTACAGCTTGAGATCGGGAATGGAGATACCTCCAGATGATCTGTTGTTGTACAGGATCGTTTTGGAGATTCTGGGTTTTTTGTTTCTCCATATGAAGCTGAGAATCTTTTTTTCAAGGTCTGTAAAGAATTGAGTTGGTATTTTGATGGGAATTGCATTGAATCTGTAGATTGCTTTTGGCAGGATGGCCATTTTCACAATGTTAATCCTACCAATCCATGAGCACGGGAGATCTTTCCATCTTCTGAGATCTTCTTCAATTTCTTTCTTCAAAGACTTGAAGTTTTTCTCAAATAGGTCTTTCACTTGCTTGGTTAGAGTCACACCAAGGTACTTTATGTTGTTAGTGGCTATTGTGAAGGGTGTTGTTTCCCTAATTTCTTTCTCAGCCTTTTTGTCTTTGGTATACAAGAGGGCCTCTGATTTTTTTGAGTTGATTTTGTATCCTGCCACTTTGCTGAAGGTGTTTATCAGCTGAAGAAGTTCTCTGGTTGAATCTTTGGGGTCGCTCATGTATACTATCATATCATCTGCAAATAGTGACACTTTGACCTCTTCCTTTCCGATTTGTATCCCCTTGATCTCCTTTAGTTGTCTTATTGCTCTGGCTAGGATTTTCTTGATCAGTTTACATGTTAGCACCATGTTCCCATGACACCTAGATAAACGGAGGCTCAAAGAGAAAAGTTTGCTTTTTTGATTATTTGAGTGCTGGTTGCCTTTCTGTCTTGCCCTGTTGCTGCTGCTAATATTCTTCTTCACTGATGGGCACAGTTTTTCAACCTTCTAGCGTAGAC